ACAGATGAAGCTACTCTCCAAGCCCTCACAATTTGTTTTAGGGAGATGCATCAGCGTGAGTTATAAACTTGAGATTTCAAAGGCATGCAAGTAATCTCGTTATTTATACATTACCCAGTTTAAATCATTAAATTTCTGGCATTTCTTTTCCACCTACACTGTACTTTTGTACCCTATACAATACTGTATTGGAGGAAATTATTTATGATGAAAGAAATCCATGAAAAAGTGTTATTCTCAGTAGTTTATATAGACCTTGGAAGTAAATGAGACCAATTGTGAAAGTTTTCATGTTATCACATAGAAAATGTTATGCATCATGATTTAACGCTTTTGTAACATTCTGTATTTGAGGGGAACTTTTGCCAATTTCTTTCATATGTCATGTCATATTCTATATTTTTGGTTAGCATATAAATCATGAAAGGAGTACCTGTTTTAAGGGTTTACAGTTAGGAAATACTATTATCATATTCACATCATTCCATATTCAACTAGTGTATATTAATTTACCTCTCGTGTACATTAATTTACCTCTCGTGTACATTTTGAAATACACAGCCGACCAAATATGCAAAGTTTACGAAATGGCTGTGAAGACTGAGCCGAGCAATGAAGAGCTGCTGTCCCATCTCTTCATGGCTTATGTCCGGGTGGGAGACTATAAGAACCAGCAGCAAACAGCCATGAAACTGTACAAGTTGAAGCCCAAAAATCCATACTACTTTTGGGCAGTGATGAGTCATGTCATGCAGGTCAGTTGTCTTTACTCAAAGAGCTATAGATTGTGTTTATTAGCGAAGAATTTTTTCTGGGTATAATGTTTCTTCGACTACAAGAAGTATACTACAAGTAGTATGGATCCACTTTACATTAATAAGGACTATTGTCAGTCAGACAGGAATATGAATAGTTCCCTATGAATATGAACCATACATATGAATACAGTATATATATATATATATATACATATATATGGAAGGTTCATATCAGAACCATACATATAAAACCATCAGAATATGGTTTATATGTATATGAATATGTTATAACCTAATTGCCAGAATGGACTACTTGTCTTAGTATGCAAGGCCTGATTTGCATAATAGGCAGAGTGATTTTTGCTATTTAAAAAAATTCCAATTGGTTTATTTTAATTAATATTATTATATTAAGAACATGAATTACTGAGTTATGTTAGTTTAGGTTAGGTAAGGTTTGGTCATATTTCTACATTAGTTTATTTCAAAATCAACCAAATTAAATCATATATATAATGTAATGGAAAACTTTATCATTTCATAAGAAAAAATGTAGAAAATATATAACTTAAAAGGAAAACTCAGCTTATTAGACTAATTCAAATTGGGCTTTGCACAGTAGGTCACATAGTGCATTCTGCCTATTAGGTACAACATATATATATATAAAACAATAAAAAATAAGTAAAAATGTTTCACTCTGAGAGCTTTTGGGTTTTATTTTTCAGGCCCATAAATCTGGGGATCCAAAAGGGAAAGAAGTCAGCCTTTTGCTGGCAGAGAGAATGGTAAACAATTTTGTTAAAGATGGCAAGATTGAAGCAGAAGCAGAAGTCATGACCTACCTTCACATCTTAGAAACACAGGTAATAATTATCTTTCCTGACTACATGGGTATTGTTTTCATCTGGCTTTGCATTGCAGCTACAACTTATATTTAATAAGATTTTTTTGTTAACTTTAATGTAAACAATTGTTAATTAACTTTTCTACATGGCTTTAATGCTTTGTAACTCTTCGCTTTGTTCCCTTACTTATATGTTAATGTCACTATTTTCTCTTCCACTTTCATACAGTTTGTTTAATGCCTTTACTCTGGCTTATGAAGTATTAGCATATTCATTTATACCTTAAGACAGTTTAGGATCCAGTAATTATAAGTGTGTGCAATAATTAACATTTGCTGATAAGAAAGATGTACAAATGTGATATGATTGATAAGGTTAATCACCTGATATTGTAACGGTAAAGCCAGTGATGCTATGAATGAGTGAGGTATAATGAATCAAGAATTGGTAAACTGCCATTATAAGAGAGAGGAATGGATTACATACAGGATAAGCTGCATTATGACATAAGGAACTTTGCATAGGCTAGATCCTGTTTAAAATGGGCTACCCAGTAAGATTATGTGCCATGGTCAACCCCTAAGGTGGGTAATCCTCAGTGATAGCAAAGTGTTACAGGTACAGAATGATAAGAGATGCAATAATGATCAGTACTATGTTTATAGGGTAAATATGCTGAGGCGTTGGCTGTTCTGGATGGCCCTCTCGCGGACAAGGTGGTGCACCAGCCAGAGAACTTCTTGGCTTTAAAGAGAGCCACTTACCATGCCAAGCTTAGCCAGTGGGAAGCAGCTGCTTCTGTATATAAAAGCCTCATCAAAGACGAGTGAGTTTTGAACTGGAATCAAGTTTGTCCGTGTTGTATATATAGTGTGCAATAATGTGTTTTCACTCCTCCCACCCTGCGTGTGTATGTAAACAGTGGCTGTGGCATTAACTGTATAGGTTGTGAAAACATTTTTATGCTTCCAGAGTGACAGCTACACTTTCCAAATTCCTTATTTCCTGTATAATACTGCAAAAGGATTTTTATACAAATTCTGCACACATAATAGGCTTTGGGATCCTTTCTCTTCCACTGTCAGCAATATAAATACTGTATAAATTTTGTCAATTTATTTTGGATGAGGAGAATAATAACATTACTAGTTCATTGTATGTTAGTATGAAATACAGTATGAACTGTACTTTCAACATTAACTTTAGATAAAATTGCTGGTACAATTGGCTAATATTTGTTTTGTGGAATTAGTTAATTAACGGCTTTTATATTTCTTTTTATTTAAGGCCAGACAACTGGCAGCACTATGTTGAGTACATCCGAATGATGATGAAATTAACGGAAACAAGTGGCAATGGAGATGATCCACTCATGTCAGCCTCTGCATTCCTCAGTACTATGAAACAGGAAGCTGTTGTAGAGAAGACGAAAAGCAGAGGCCCTCTCTTAGGCCTGTTACAGTTAGCTCTGGTACTACATCAGCAGGGAATGAGTGAACGAATTGGTGAATTATGTGGTAAGGTTCACTTTTAGTTTCATTCTGGGTAGTTGAAAAACAGGTCTTGCAATCTCTCCCATAAGAAACAAAGTATCAAAAATATGATAAGATACAAAGATATATTATGGTGCCATTGAATGTTTATGATATTTTTGTTCATGAGCCTATTGTGAAGAAAATAATTTTCCAACAATTTTGGGATTGTAAGTTTGGGAGATAGATACTGCAGTTGTAAATAATGTGTGATGTCTGCTTGTATTATCCAACCATGGATGTAGGATATATACATCAGGTATATACAATAAAAGAAAAGTAGCCAAATGTTAGATAAGAATTTTATTTTTGCAGGTGATCTTGTAGAGATTCTTCATCTTTATATTCAGGGGTATGGGGATAAAATGTGTTGCTATGGCGACATCGTCAACTTCCTTCCACTTGTGCCAAAGGACCAGATATGTCTCTTCCTAAAACAAATCAAGGAAATTGTACAACTCAATGAAGAAGGTTCTCCAGTTAATGTAAGTGTTGGGGAAGAAATATTTTGCATATATATATTTGAGAACATTAAGTACGAATTTTAAAGTAGAAAAGGAGGCTCATCGCTCACCTTCAATGCATTGCTGCTTATTCACTTTAGTGCATGAGAAAAGTGTAATAATCATTCATATAGCCTTCCAGTTTTCTTGTCATCGTGGTTACTCATGTATGCACACTGCCTCTCTTATCTATTAATTTCATAGCACCATACCATTATTGCATACTTGCATACTATTTGCATGCCACAGACTTGCACTGCTTGTCTATTTTTGTGTTTTTGTTTTATATCCACGTATTTGTTGGCCAATTTTTCTTCCTGACTCTCTACTTTTAACTTACACAAATTCTTCTTTCCAAGCTAGACCACTCGGTTGTTGCCTCAGTGTTCAACACGCCCACTGTATATTGCTGGCTAATCTACCGAGATAGCACTCGGAAAGGGACGTTTCATTTTATTCATTGCTTTATTTTTAAATCTTTGTAGTTAAGAGTGTATACCATGGAATATAAAAAAATGTGTTTGATTTGCACGGAATTTTAATTTATGCATGTGGCCTAACACTTGGTACTCCATACCCATCAGCAACTTCAGGGGGAGTGAGATGTAGCTCTTTATGTCCCGCCTCCTAGCCCTGGTACACTACCCCTCTCATCATTAAAGTTGTCATCATACTTTTTCTTTTTATTTGGGGATGAAATTGGCAACAACAACCTCTTCTTTCTTCACTGTTGTTAATTAAGGGCAAAAAAAAAAAAAAGCCTAATTTTTAAAAGCGTTGCACATATATGTGGAATACATTTGTGTATATTTAGAGAACCAAATACATTAAATAGTGTTTTATAGTTTTATTACAATTACAGGATCGCCAAATATATATATACAGTATACAGTACCTGTACTCTTATCAAAGCTTGTATATATAATCATTATTGGTGCACACTACCAATAAAATGTTGTCTTTAAGTGTTCTGCTGCATGTTACAAATTTTGGATTACAGTGCAGTATTGTGCAAATACTGTATTTTTAGGGCAAATATTTTCATTGTTGTATTCCTCCCCCATACAGGTTGAAGCCATTTATCGCAATCTATGTTGGTTGCAGCTTCGAAGAGCCTTAGGAGAGCAGGAGACTCTTACCCCTTTGCAACATATGGAGTTCTCCGATTCACTTGTCAAGTTATATAAGCAGACATTACACCTCTCCTCACACATGGCTGACACAGATATCAGGCGAGTGAAGTCATCGCCTAATGTAATTCACTGCTTACTTTAAATTGTTAGATATGAGATATTTCCTTTGAGTCATTAATTTATGCAACTAAAGTAATTTAGCAGTTGCAAAAATGTGATGTCAGATAATAATCAATTACAGTGCAGTTTTGAATGTCATATTTTGGGGGGGGGCATTTTAATATAAAATGCACTTAATTGTAATGCATCCAGGTTTTGGAAGGAAATACTATTTAGGTAATTAAGGTTTTGAGTGAATAGCATCCTTGTGAGCAGTGCACTCGGATGATGTTGGTTGACATGGGCAACTTGCATTGGTCTTGGTGGAACAGTTAGGTACACAAGAGATCAACAGATGAACAGGCTCACAAGGGTGTCTTCATTCCACTTAATGCTTTAACTTTTATTTATTTATTTATTTATTTATTTTTTTAATATCAGTACTGGATAGTAATAAATTGAATGATGTATCTGTCTTTGTAGACCAGGCGATGCATACTTAATCCTGGCGACTCACAGTTACCTTAAGGCGGTGTCCAAGTGTGATGGGACAACCGCCGATATCGACCCGAAACACTTAATTCTCAAAGTTGCTGCCATCTTGGAGTATGGCATAGATATTTCTAAAGCCAACTTCCAATTAAAACTGCTACTAATTAAAGTGTATAATATGCTTGGTAAGTAATTATAATAGTTTTCACTTCTACATATTGTATTTTATTTAAAATCTGTAATATATATTATCTCCCGTAAGTGTACATTCTCTAGGATGAAGAAAGTTTTCTGGCCTTCTTGGGCTTGTTTGTTCCTTCTGTATTTAAATACTCTGAGTCTCTTGCGTGTGCTTATTGAAACTGTATATATCTAGGAAAATTTAATCATATAGTTAAATATTCAAATGATAAATGAGCTATGTTTACTATGCTTTTCCGGTAGGTAGGCACAAAAATATATTTACAGTTACATGACAGTCACAGCGTGAGTGACAAATCAGCTGTGTCTACTACAATGACAAGACAGTCACAGCATGAGTGACAAATCAGCTGTGTCTACTACAATGACAAGACAGTCACAGCATGAGTGACAAATCAGCTGTGTCTACTACAATACCATACAGCATAGTTTTCCAGTAGAAGTATTTGTAAAACAGCACAGGATTAGGAAGCATTTGAACCATGGTAAAACTATAGACCAAAGTTAAAACAAAATTCTGTGAGTGGGTTTAATTTAGAATTTGATGCAGTTTGGCTCAACCCAGTTAGACGAGCAATGGAGCTTTTGTTTAACTAGTGATGGAAGGAGAGGGGTCTACAGAAAAGAAAAGTAATTGGGTTTAAAACTCTGTATACTGTATATACAGTCAGATTCTCTTGGTGGATCTAAAAACATAATAAAGGAAACTTTATCCTCCAGGTGCCACTGATGCCTCTCAAACAGTGTATGAAAAATGTGACTTAAAACATATCCAGCTTGACACTCTGGGCCATGTCCTGGCACTGCAGTCTCTGGATTCGACCGATTATGCGGCTGCCGCTGAAATCTTCTCCTCCACGCTCAAATTCTTCATGGCCAACTATAAAGATGTAAGCTCATCTCATACTTTTATTCTATTTATTATTGATATCATAATTTTTACTGTTCGGATAAAATATTGCTTGTATTAGTTTTAAATATTGGAAAATGGAATAGGTTGTTCTCAGAGAGAGAACTCGAGAATGGGTGGGTGCCCGGTACTTGCCTCTCAGTGACTACAGGGAAGTGAGGCCTTGTGGATTACACCCAACTTCATGAAGGTTGCACCAGCTGTAAGCATCTCCTACGTAGTATATGAGAAATTGAACTATTCTGGTTGTACTACTGCATTGATTACACTACAGCTCTAGTTGTTAGTTACAGACCCCATTTAGCATTTTTGTATTCACTTTATTTTTACCAAGTTTTGTTGTTTCTCCTGGCTTTTGTTGTTGTTTATGAGCCATTCTTATCCCCCTATCTTGTACAGGTGTGTTTTCCTTACTCCTGTTGCTTGAAATCATCCTTTTAATTTAGAACATTTGTGTATTTTTAATCTAGATTAAGTTATTGGCATGTGTGTGAGCCTCGGGATTTTGCAACTGGCTAGGACCCGCAGCAACTTGGTTATGTTGAATACGTGCTCCTGTCAGGAGGTTGCTGCCATGTCTTAGGGATGGGAGGATGTCTTATGGTTTTGCTCAATTGATGTTTGCCAGCCTCCTCTTCCCTATTTTGTTAATTTTTTTTCATTTATACAAGCGTATCTTATTCCCTTTGTTGTGTCAGAACATTTAATTGGCAACACTTCATCGAAAAAACAGGTAAACACGGATTTGGAAATAGGGTACCAGATTTAGCCTAAAAGCCAGTGCCTGAAAGTAGTAGATATGACTAATCTTGAACACCAGCTAGCCATTCTTAGTCTTGGAATAGATTTGGACATGCCAGTAGGCATCCTAGAGGTCCAGAGACAATCCAAGAGTGACTTGGAACTACCTCACAAACCAGTCATGTTTAGGATTCAGAGGGTTGAACACTGGATGTGGGCATTGATTTCCAACAAGCTGAGAATTGTTTCACTCTTGTTCAAATCAACCACCACTGGGAAAATTTAACACAATTAAAATCTTGTACTGGACACCACCACCACTGCCTGATATCTGAAATGTGGGTGCAGTGGGATAGACAGCTTCCCAAGGCCAAAGATATTCCTGGGAGAAAAAGGGAACCAAACCCACCCAGTACAGTCCTTACTACACCCAAGTTTCTGGGCCCAAGTCACAATCACTTAAAGGCTACAACTGCAACCATAACAACTGCTACAGCCACAAGAACAGACACAAGCACAACATTCACTGCACTAACCTATGCACATTACACCAGCCAGTGCTTATTGCACTTCCAGGACATGTTATACTCCATATACAATATTTACTGTTTGTATATGTCATGTTGCTGGTGCTGCGGGACACCCTTCATGATTGCCCCTCGTGCGATCAAAACATTTACTTCAATTTATGTTTTAGGATATTTATGTAATAAAATATGTATATAATTACCCTAAGAGTGTAATTGAATCTGTCCTGATCTACAATAATAATTATAATAATGCTAGTAATAATTATGCAGTTGATTTTGTGTAATGTCAGCGATTGAAAAATAAATAAATGAATGAAGCTTGTATCCTTTCAGTCTTTCTAAAGTATTTTATTTTTGTTTCCATTTTCAGACCTCAGATCCACTAATATCTTCATATAAATATGGATCACTGACTAGAATTCCTGAGTTTGTGGAGTTCAGAGAAAGATTAAATAATTCCCTCCATTTTGCCACAGTGACGGCTGAGCAGATGCTGATGGAACTGACCACCGAAGTGAGTATCATCATAGCAGAGGCTTTATTTAGTAAGTAGCACCGTAGTAGAGGCTTTATATAGCAGTTGCCGTCATAGTAAAGGTTTTGTTTATAGCAGTTAACATCGTAGTAGAGGCTTTAGTTATTGAGTGCCTCCATAGTAGAGGCTCGAGTTTTCAAAATGCCACTGTGGTAGAGGCTTACGGTAATGAATTTCTGTTTTTGATTCCCGTGCACTATTTGCAATCAAAGTGGCACCCTATTGCAGAAAATACTATTCATTTATTTAGTTGTTTTTTTGGTTATGTTAAATGTGGCATTCACAAGTGTGACTGTTTTATTGGCTTGTTGAGCAGTAGTATTTTTGGTTAAATCGTCTTTGTAGTATTGAAGGAGTGTAGGATAAATGGTAAAAATGTAATTGACATAGCTATTGGTACCAAAGAGGGGGTCTGATTTTTTAAATTTTATAATATAGCTGGGCAAGTGGCGGCTGTTAAAAAAAACTATAGTTGGAGTGAATGCGTATTAATCATTTTGAGTGGAAGTTTAAAAGAAAGTTGAAACTCTGTAATGATGATTCTAATGAGGATCAATTATGATGATGCCTGCATGGGGATATGGCTGCCTGAGGCAGTCTTATGTTATATATATACAGGCTGAAACAAAGACAGGCAGGTCAATTTATGCCCGAAATGCTGTGTGTATTAGTGGCTTTAGGCATAGTATATACTTGCTCTATCTAGTAATCCAACATTCTTCTTGTAACTCCTTTTGTATGTATGTACTTTCCCTAAATAAACATTATTATTATTATTATTATTATTATTATTATTATTATGAAAAAGGAGGGAATTGCTCTGACTGCCACTCTTAAATCAGAATACCATCATATGTTGACCACAAATCTTTATTCTTCTCTGAATAAAAGTTCAGTAATTGGAAATGAAAAATTATGTTGGGTTTGTTCAATATCATTACTGTTTAGTGAAGCAATAAATGAGCAGTATTGGGAATAATACATAATGGTGGTTGATTTATGATCAAAGGAAGTTTTCAACAGGAGATCCCTGGTTAGTTTTGATTTATGTGCAGAGTCATGACCAATACAATACAAAACACATTGATTTAGCCCAGCTGTCTGAAAGGAGAATGTTTCACGTGGATGGCAATAAGAGCAAATTGTTCGTATTTGAAAAGGAATAATCGTGTTATCTCAAAATAAGACACAATCATATACAGGTTTATATTTATATTTTTGTCTATATTTGAATACATCTCTCTCTCTCTCTTGGAGGACCTATATTTGTTAGAGTGTTTACATTATGATTGACAATTAATGGACTGAATAGATATGAGATAGGTATTTCAATAGATATGAAATTTCAATAGATATGAGGTAGGTATAACAATTGGTAGAGGAAGAAATGTAATCTTGCTCATTTTAATGAGATTACCGCACTGTATAACATTTATTTATATAATAATGAATTAATAATTGACAATAGCACTTACTAGACTGGTGTTATTGTCAAAATATAATAAAGGTATCTATGGTTTTGTCAGATAAGTTCTCACAGTCAGTTGGTTGACATGCTACAACAAATGGACATCGATCCAGCTACTGACAAGACCAACTGGGAGGAGCTGCGTGACAATCGTGACCTACGGGTCATGAACACCTGGGAACCTCTTACCAGGTGAGCTGCACCTGGTGACATACACAAGTTGCTTGCTAGACACACACAAATCACAATAGCGTGATGCATCAAATAAACAAATTCACAAGGGCCGTGACGAGGGTCGAACCCTCGTCACTGCCCTTGTGGATTTGTTTGTTGTTTGCTAGTTTAGGCATAAAAATGATATGCTCATTAGGTATTAAGTGATAGTGTTGATGACAGCTCATTTAAGCAACTATTTTGGTACCTCTCAGCATGTTGTTAGCCTACAGTACAGAACTGTATACAGGCATACCTCAGTTTAAGAGTTTAATTGGTTCCTGGAGACGCCTCGTATTCCGAAGCTAATTTCCCTATAAGAAATAAAGGGAAATGAATTAATCCGTTCCAGACTACCCCAAAAACCCCACATCAAACTAAATTTTTATACCTAATTCATCTAAATATACCTACAAAAGTATGTTCAAGTTATTACTTACCTTGCTGTTGAATGCTGTAGGCGTATGGAAGATGGTGAGGAGGGGGGAGAAGGAGAGGAGTTACTGTTTGGAAGGGAAGTCCCCTTCCATTATCACATCAGGCAGTGAAGACTTTTCTGGTGTGCTCTCCCTGGGACGTTTTATCTGAGTGCCACTAGGTCCTGGTTGAGGCTCACTGCTCGATTTCCTCACCACAAGTCTGTCCAAACCCTGGCTTTCTCACAAATAATGGCCTCCGAAACACTGTCACCCCTTAACTCCTTGTCGTGTATCCAAATTAATACCAACTTTTCCACTTCTTCAAGTATTTGTGGTCTTTGTTTCGTTATTGTTCTGACTCCTTTTGCCACTTTAGCACTCATAATCTCATTTTTCTTCTTAAGTATAGTGCATATTGTTGATGTGGCTTTGTTGTACTGCCTACAAAGTTCAACAACACGTGTACCATTCTCATGCTTCCGAATGATCTCTCGTTTCTCCTCTATTGTCATCCTCACATGGGCTTTCTGGCCTTTATCCTTACCACTGGCTTTCTTGTGACCCATGGTGAGATATATAATAACATTGTATAGTCAAATCACCAAAAATCCAACAAAACACTGAAAATCCGCGAGAAGAATTGATGTGGGGTAGTCACTGGGCGCGAGACAATGGTAAACTGAGGGGCGGAGGGCGACGATCGCCGAATCACCATGCGCTGGGTCGGCCTGTACGCGTATCAACAAACTCGTGTCCCGAGGTAACCCTCGCGCTCCGAGACATATTTTTCGAGGAAATCCTGCTCGTATTCCGAAAAACTCGCATACAGGGACACTCGCATTCTGAGGTACCACTGTATGTGCCTTGGCTTTTGTGGTATTAAGTTTTATGTCGTACAACATTGTACTACATTGTTGGACCAGATATCTTTACATTTATTGGAAAAATGCTAGTCAATATGACATAGGAATACAGTATGAGTGTTTATAAGTCATTACAAATCTTACCATTTATTTGAAAAGTAATCTTTTCTAAGTCCTGTATTGCATTGTTTATATTGAGTATTATTTCATCTTCCTAGGTGTTTGCAGGAGAGTGACATAGCAGCGAGCACTGCAGCAGACATAACCATGTTGAAGCTTCGTAATGTAACACTCAGATTAGTGGGAGCTGCGAGCAGACTTGGTCATTCGAAAGTAAGCAATGATCAGGCATCTGCAAACAAAGAAAATAGGTTTGTTTATAAGTATTTTTATAGCTTTTTCCTTTCAGGGTTTGTTAATAAAGCTTTCATATTAAATTCTGTAATCAGTGTTTACTATAAAAAAAATTGTGTTCATTAGAATTAGGTTATTGCTTTCAAATAAATACTCTGTGGTTTTGGGGACATTTAATACAGTAGACTCTTGCAAAGCACAAGCTATGTACCCTAGATAAACCTTGTGCTTCACGCAGGTGCGAAGGTGCATTTTGGGATTGTATCAGAAGGTGCAGAATGTTTGGGGGAGGGGATTATAATGCAAGTAGGTAATCCCAAAGGTGCATACGAAAATGGGCGTGTTGTGACAATATGAACTTAAAAGTATGTAAAACTCACAAAAAACAACATTTGGCCAAATATTACCTCATAAGTCATGCTCATCTTGAGGTTATCTTGAGATGATTTCGGGGCTTAGTGTCCCCGCGGCCCGGTCCTCGACCAGGGCCGCGTGTAGACAATTTTTGGCTGTAAAGAGCATGGTCATGCCTTGTGAAATTTGCATTGTTTAAGATTGTGCTGCACGAGGGTTTATTGTATAACGCCGATGTATGTTCAACTTCTAGTAGCTGGGGGGGAGAAGTAATATATTATTTTAACATTTCACTCTCATTGACTTACATTTGATTTGCCAGTGAAATTTCAATGCCAAATCATTCTTCCATTGTAATAAACGGCTCTTTACTTCAGTGGTAGATGCCATGTAGATTTACCAGTGTTTCCTTTCTTGTCGTTTTAATCTACATGAATAGTGTTTTGCAGAATTATTTGCACAGGCTAACTCAATCTTGGAAGATGTAGTCCTAGTACTGTATTAAGAGATAACCACCTGTTCTATTCTATTTACTAGCTAGTGGAATAACATTGAGAGGAATAAGTAGGTAGATAATAGATAAATAAGAGGGTACAGTATTGGCATTCATTTCCTGATTCCTAAATTAATTCTACAAAAATGTCATGGAACAAAATGATATATCAAGCAGGAAAGGTGAAGAAATAGGCTCCATATACATATTTTGTATGGTAATATTCAAAATGTTAACATGAACTTCAGTGAGTGTGTGAACGGTGAAGCAAGTTCGTCATCGGATGCGACGCTGTTGGCTAATCTCACTGCCCGACTAGAGCAGGAGTATGAAGATTGCAGTAGATATAGAAATTGCAAGTCCCCTCAGGTAATTTTATTTTGATTTAGTTATTTTAAAAATTTGGAATGCTATTGTACAGTGTAACATCAAAAATTTGTACTACTACTTTCTCATCCTCATTGACAAAATTACAAATCCCTGTTTCGTGTCATCTTTTGCAGCCGATACCAAAATCAGCATGAATATTGCCTCAGTAAGAGACACTAAAAAAACTACAAACAGATATCAGAAGGGGCCTCGTAGCCTGGTGGATAGCGCGCAGGACTCGTAATTCTGTGGCGCGTGTTCGATTCCTGCACGAGGCAGAAACAAATGGGCAAAGTTTCTTTCACCCTGAATGTCCCTGTTACCTAGCAGTAAATAGGTACCTGGGAGTTAGTCAGCTGTCACGGGCTGCTTCCTGGGGGTGGAGGTCTGGTCGAGGACCGGGCCGCGGAGACACTAAAAAGCCCCGAAATCATCTCAAGTTAACCTCAAGAAGGGTTCCAATTGGCAGTGGAAAACAACATAATATTCAACAGTGATAAATTCCAGCTATTTATATACAAAGAAAATGAGGAACTTAAACTGGGTGCAGAATACAAGATCCAATAAGATCTCATAAAATGGAAGCAACACTTGAAGGATCAAGGTTTAATGATGTTGGATGACATAATGTTTAGTAAGCATTACAGAACTAATGCAACATCAGCCTGGAAAATGATAATCTGAACCATTTGAAGGTTCTATGAGAACCTTCAAATCCAGGAATGCCATCACATATTTTATTATTTTCTAATCACTTATGCTTTCCTGCCTTGAATACTGCTCAATACTGATTGATCCCTTTCAAGTCAGGAAATATTTTTGAAACAGAAGGAATACAAAGCATGTATGCTACATGCATAAAGACTTTAAAACACTTAAATTACTGAGACTGTCTCAAAGTAGTCAGTATTTACTCTCTGGAAATGAGACGAGAGAGGTATCACTTGATATAAACTGTATGTGAAAGATACTCAAAGGTCAAGACTCAAATATGCACAATAGCGTAACAACCTACTGGAGTAAAATGCCAAATATTTTCAGTGAAGAGAGGAGATGCCGTAGACACAAGCAGAGAAATGTGAACATGTATTATGAACATATATGTATGAACAAAAAGAGGACCTTGTCAACCTCTTCCCACCCAATATAAGAACTATTGCCAGAACATAGGTGGATGTTTTCAAGAAGCAGTTGGACAACTACCTGCCTGAAGTGCCAGATTAGCCAGGTTTGAATGGAATATGTAGGCTTGCGAGCCACAACCAGCAAACAGCCAGGGGCCAGATTTTCGAAAGCACTTACGAACCTATACATCTTTTCTCAATGTTTGGCGGCTTTGTTTCCAATTATTAAACAGTTAATGAGCTCCGAAGCACCAGGAGGCTGTTTATAACAATAACAAAAGTTGAATGGGAAGTTTTCATGGTTGTAAACTGTTTAATAAATGTAATCAAAGCCGTCAAAGATTGAGGAAAGATGTACACGTTCGTAAGTGCTTTCGTGAATCTGGCCCCAGATCAATAAAGCTGGGCTTGGGTAATACAAGAACTCTCAAAAACTAAGCACAGTACAGGTAAATTAGAGTTAACCTTAAAATCGTGATGTGATTTTGCAACTGGGAATTTTGTTGAAAATCTGGAACAGAACACTAAGAGTTCCCAAACCATAAATAAAGTCCACAATGACTTGACCTCACTTTTTGTTTTAATTATTTTTTCCAGTACTGTATTTTTACTTGTTCTTATCACTTTATTAATAAATATTTAAAATATATATTTTATTGTAATATACATGATGTAATGCAGTTTCTTTAGCCTTTGTTGTTGCTATACTGGAAAATCTTGGAGGGAGCCCAATATGATATTGACTGGATTTTTTATGTTCCACTATGTTTTTATTCTGCAATTTAAGCTTAAATGCAGTTTTAATACAGTGATACTTTTTAGTATGCTTACGTAATGAACTGTTTCTTATGGGATTCTCATCATTACAACATTGTGAATTTGCAGCTTCCACTTCAAGGCCCTGATCCGTCCAGAATTTACCTCTATTCTTCAGGGAGTTATATCCCTGTCCTAGTCAAACATGCACAAGTGTTACAACGAGTGCACAAATGTTCTCACGACCCTACAGGTGCGTAGTATACTTGCTATTTCCAGTACGGTTACAGTACTGAAATCTGTCCTTATGAAAGAGATTAAAATGTAATTTATTTTTGTAATTTTCATGAAAGCATGTAAAGTCTTGGGTAGCTGTTTCACCTTGTTCAGGTGGGAATGTTGTAAGGTTCGTGACTGAATGAACCAATAGGTAAAGTGGGAAAATTAAGACAAAATAATTCTTTAGTCGATTTGGTAAAAATAGACAAATTGCTTCTGTGGATGATGTTACCAGCTAATTTATATAGTTTTAATTGGAGTGAACTGTAAAGATCTTAATTTTTCTTTTTAAGGTGTTGCAAGTTGGTCAAGTGAAGTCATTAAGGAGGCCCGTGAGGAAATAGAAGAGTTGATCACATCACACATGCAACACGTGGAGAGCATACAAACTGTGACCCCAAACATCCTTCCAGGTGTGAATCCTCCTGCCTTCACGCACCTTCATCACCTGGTGCAGACTTTGGGCATCATTGCCATCTTCCTGGGCTGCTGTTTTACCATTCTTAAACCAATAAAGGCAGCTGTGTCAAAGAAAAACAAGAAGAGAAAAGAACCTGTGATAATGGTGTGTATTTGACCCATTTTGAGGTTAATGTTAAATTAGGTTTTATGGATCAAACAGACTCTGTGTACATCTGTATTTTGTGGAAAGGTGACAGCAAGGTTGGGAGGGAGAGTGGTCAGGGGCTCTCACCAATGTCCAAAAATGCCTGCCATTGTTCTGATAGGTTAATTAATTGAACTGGCTAAAGGTTAAGGTGTGTTAAGCCAGGATTGATTCATAGCTTCATTGGTAACATCACTTTAGATTGTCAGAATGGTATTGCATTACAGTAATATTTACAGCACTTTATTCACTGCATATTTTAAAAACCAGCAGGCTTGCTGTCATTTCCCTTAAGCAGGCCAAGTAATGGAACCCAAGTTTCATTACTTGGCCGGCATCTCTTGCGTTGCTCAAGTGATGTGGGAATCCATTGAAATATGCTTAATAAAATCAGTTTTCTCCAAAAGGGGAGTTGATACACTTAGCAAATTGTGTAGATACTCTTAGCTAAATTATGTAGCTATTTAATTGAAACCATGACAAATTTGAGTGAATTTGGGTAAAACAAGTTGCTATGTGTGTATACTATATGTATGTACTAATGACTTTAATTTTTTGGCAGTGAATTCTGGAACATATTAATGTAAACAATTATTTAGTAAGATAGTGTGGATGAAATCAGTTAATGTATGTATGTTTAGAATAAAATTGTTGACAAATTGCTCTGTTGCAATTTCAGAATTCAATAATAACATAATAAACATTTTATCCTTATGTGCTTTTATGTTGTGCTTCTCTGTTACAGCCAGAGGTGATACCCCAGTTTGCCAGCTTCATCGCTTCCCTCACAGCCAGCATACAGAAGCTGGAGAAAGCCACTTCCGAGAAGTACAAGTCCGTCAAGTCAACAACAGATGAAAATTTCCACGAAGGTTATTCTTCTGTGGACATCAGTTCCATCCTCACGAGTCATGCAGAGGGAAAATTAGTGTGTGAAAAAGTGGAACAGAGTTTTGTTAAAAGTTTAGAGAGGCTTTCCTTTTCTATAGGAAATAAAGTAAAATATATCTCCTCTCTCAAACTGTAACATGGAATTGTCACTCAGACGCAAAATTATTATTATTATATTTTTTTTTATCCTGCCTTAGTTATTGTTGAGTGACCTCCCAATGAAAAATTAAATGCAAATGTGTCTTAAATCTTTGCAAGTCTACAATAAATATTAAGTTGTAAAGTCTGATGTTGTTGGTCAATGAAAATTTGACAGTGATTTCACGGTTTATATTTGTTATAATGATTTTGTTAACTTTTAACAAGTTTTTCAGCCGCTGAAGTCTTGTAACCATTTGCTTGTTGAGTTTCATCTCAATATAATTTGAATGTGATTGTGTGTTGTTATTTGGCCTTATACTTATTGTTATTTATTTAAGTACATTCAGGTACACATGGAAACTTGTTAAGATTTACTGTAATGTAAATTGTTTTCAGTGTTGTATTCACAGGTACAACAGCTTTAGTTAGTAGTGGGAAGAACACTTTATGTATTTGGCCTTCCTGTACCCAACATTTGCACAAATAAAGTACACACATTATTTTTATACAAAACTTCCTATTTCATAGCTTGTCATTCTCTTGTGAGAGAATACAGTATGTATTTCATAAAATATAGGACAGCCTTTGAGAAGAAAAATTGAATTCTGAGCTAGGCAGAAATGGATAAGATTTGACAATCCATCCTGAGTCAGTCTTGACACAGTCCTATTGTAGCCCATCTCATGCAGCCCGTCCTCCAAACAAAGACTCAAAAGTCCATTCCATACACCCGCCAAAGCCCTTGTTTATGAATGAAAAACAGTTTACACACGACTCGCAGCTGGTGACATTCTAACACTTCCGAAACAAGTGCTTCGCCGACGACTGTTGTTTGAACCACAACGCTGTAAGTGGTTCATCGCCTCCCTCATATAGTACATGAACCCATGTACTATAAATAAAAATAATCGCCAACAGAACCTAAACACCTAACCTAACCAGTGCCTAAATATGCACAGTATGCTAATTTGTATTGATATTAATTTATATTTGAGAAAAGTTCTGTTTTGAAGGAACAGCATGTTAAAATTGATAAATGCATCTTTGGGGGTTGACCGCTGGATGGAATGAACTTGGTCTGAGGACGGGATGCCTCACGTGTTAAACTTTGCATAAAGTGTAATAAAAATATTGTGATCTTTGTAGGCATTAGAATCTACAATTTTGACTAAAAAGTTCTTCCAGGTTGCACCACATTTTCTTTTGGGGGGGGGAGGGATACGATATTTCCTGTGAACTATGAATAAGAATTGGGACTTGAATAATTGCAAGCACACTGGAAGAGGTTACCATTTCTTGTCTTTATCTTAATTATTTTGCAGTAAATTTGCACTAAAATTTGTTATGCCAAACATTTCTTGTATTAAAGTTATCATAAAATTATTCTCTCTACTATATAAAAAGTATTTCACATGAGAAGTATTATAATGAAAATAATTTTTAATGGTAACATTTATTTGTATTCTAATAAATGTACAATATTTTAGTATTGCAAGTAAATGCTTGCTATAATACAAGGAAGCACATCTTCAGGGCTTAATACATTTGTATATATTGGATATTAAAAAGTTTTTTTTTGTTTTGTATTTGGTATTTTAGATACTTATAATTTTAACTAAAAATTGTGAAAGCACAGTCTACGAGAAGATGAACTCTCCAAGTTAAGCTGTCCTCTATGCTCTTCCACTAAAAAGAAATTATTTGTATTTGTCTTGCTAAATAAATTCTATTTTAGCAGATGCAGATTACCTTGTGACTGCCACTTGGTTTCATCTTGGTCTGTTAACCTCTCCAGGATGCTCCGTAGATTGTCTGCCTTTTTTATTTGGGGGGGGGGGAAGGGATTCTTGACAGGATCATAACGGAGGGACGATAAGCCATGTCAACCAATTCATAAGTATGGATTTACTGATGCAGATCAACACAGGAAGGTACATTTCCCTCATTTGTGTGAATATTTGTACACCATTTGGGGTGTTATAATACCAGTGAGAATATGTTATATGGTATTTTAAAATTTGTCTTAAACTTAATTTGAAACGACACTACCTTCTCAGCTAGTCAAACCTGAGATATGTAGATTACAAGACCAGTAACATAACCAGTCCAGATATTTCTGATGGTCTGAAAACATATTACAGTTCCAGTAATAGTCAACTTGTAAACTGGCAAGTGAACCTTTGTCCTAAACTGAGATTATTCTCAAGCTATAACTGTGTTTGTATTTTAAATCGTTGGCTTAGAAAATAGTCTGGTCGTTCTCAACTTGCAATCGAGAATTCCAGGACAGAAATGGTTGGGCTCATTTCCTATCACCTAATTGCTCCTGTTCACCTAGCAGTAAGGAGGTACCCAGGAGTTAGCTTCTTGTAGGGTTGCATCCTGGCTGGGGGGGCTCGATGTAAGCCTAATGTGTAAATACTCTACCTGTGTGCCACCAAACAATGAAATAAATAATGTAAAAAGTGTACGCTGAAAACATTTTCTTTGAAACGGTCCGAAGAATTTGGTTTTCTGTTTTTTTTTCATTCAAGAATGAATAGCTTGAAATAGGAGGGAGGATAGATGTAAAACAACTATAGATCTCACTAACCTTGATACTGATAGTCACCTACGGGCTTTTAGCCAATTTTGGACGATGTAACCACTCCCATGCAGTACTGCAGAGTGTTGAAAGGTGTGATTAGACCCGTAAGGCCATTCTTTCATAAAGTTATTCCTCCGGATGCTCCAGTGTCTTAATTCTAATTTGTCCAAGGCTTATAAGTCTGTGGCAGATTTATAATAAATCATATAACATTATTATATATTTATTATATAATATTTGTAAGTAAATACGTCAAACCTGAAGGATTATACAACACTATGTCGCATAGAATATTGAACAAGTTTCCTAGATACTTACTTCTAGATGAACTATTTATTTATTTATTTATTTATTTATTTATTTCTATACAAGAAGGTACAATGGGTTTATGAGAGTACATAGCACTGATGTTTTTACATTCTAGTAAAGACACTAACACGCATAGTGTTTCGGCTTAAACAGGTCCTTAATCTAATAGATCATTTTAAGTAAGCAAAAGCCATAACTGTAGCAAAACTGAAAAAAGTTAACAGGTACATTGTAAGATTTTAAGAAAATTAGTAGGTACATTTTAGTAAAATTTGAGGATTATCGACAGGTACATTGTAGCATAATTTGAAGATTATTTCTAGGTACATAATAGTAAAAATTTCGCTCAATATAACAACCATGATATAAGGTGGTGGCAGTGATTACAACGGTGAAGTTATATGGCTTAGGCACATATTTTGGGGGTAGCACACGATACAGTGCGAGTGTGAAGCACGAGGTAAAAAACTATGAAGATGAAATTAGGCACTTTTTGGTGTTAGTTTTGAATAAGTGGGTAGGTTGGACAGCTTTATAACTCGTTAGGGAGTGAGTTCCATAGACTAGGTGCCTTCATTTGCATAGAGTGTTTACACAGATTTAGTTTGACTGGGGATATCAGAGATATTTATTTCTGGTGTGGTGATTAGGGGTTCTATTACATCTGTCGAGGATGAGTTTCAGGTCAGGGTTTGCATCTCTGTACATGTAAATGGCACAAGAGAATGTTTGGAGTGAGTTTATGTTTAGCATGTTGAGGGATTTAAACAAGGGGAGCTGAGTGTTGTCTGAAAGCAGAGTTTGTTATTGTTCTGATAGGAGATTTTTGTTGGTTGATGATAGGCTTGAGTTAGTTTGCAGTGGTTAAACCCCATGCACAGATACCGTATGTAAGATATGGATAGATTAGCACGTAGTATTATGAAAGGAAAGCAGAGTTTGGAACATAATATCTGATTTTAGAAAGTATACCGACCGTTTTTTTGATACTTTTTTTGGTAATGTGTTGTATGTGGATGCTGAAGTTGAGTCTCTTGTCTAGGTAAAGACCAAAGAGCTTTCCATCCTTTTAACTGCTGATGTTAACATTGTCTATCTGAAGCTGAATTTTCATTTGTTGATTTGCTTCCAACTAAGATGTAGTAGCTATTTTGTATGTTTAGTGTGAGTTTGTTGGTTGACAACCATGAGTGGACTTTTTTTTAATTCATTATTTACATTATTTAGTGTGTGTGTGTGTGTGGGTTGGGATCTGAGTGAATGAAGGTAGTATCGTCAGCAAATAGTATAGGTTTAAGAATGTTAAAGACATTAGACAAATCATTGATGTATATAAGAAATAGGAGAGGTCCTAGGATGCTGTCCTGTGGCACTCCTACAGTTAATGGTAGAGTGGGGGAGGTTATATCATTGATGGCTACATATTGGTGTCTGTCACTAAGATAAGATCGAATATTATATAATTATATCATTCAGGATGCCAATACGAGTATAGACAGACTTGTGATGTCAAAAGACTTGATTTACTAAGAAAGTTATCTAGGGATATACGCCTTGCAGGCCACTGGAAAAATCAAACGTTCTGATCATTCTAAAAATCGGGACATTGTATGAGATGTACAACTGTTAAGAGAATGTAGTTTTAACAGTAAAGTGGAGATTCTGTGTTCCATTTCAAGTGCCTCTCACTTAATACATATATTTAAATTCACTTTTGTCGTTTGTCTCAACACCTGCATGCAGTATAAATACATGTGAGTGTGTGGTACCAAGGTGTTAAAGATAACAGAAATAGATAACCCTCAGAAAGGCGACTGACTCCCAAAGAAAGTATATAAGAGGTAATTAGCCCCGTTGCGTAGAAATTACACAGAGAAAGTTACGTTGGATTAGTGGCTGAGGAAGGCAGTGAGAGAGGAATCGGAGGCGGGGCGGCAGAGACAGCTGGTACAGAGAGAGAGAGAGAGAGAGAGACAGCGGGTACAGCAGCAGTGTAGCAGCTACAGCTACAGCAACAGCAGCAGGAGCAGGAGGCTGGTGGGGAGTGTCTGTTACCACTACCACTACCAGAAGACGACTGGTGGGACATTATACCATGTCCACTGACCCGCCGCCCCACCATGGACACCCGGTCCATCACACGCCTGTATGTTGTGTCCCCGGCCTGGGGTCAGGGGGACTGGCTGTCCTAGCTTGGGGTCAGGGGGACTGGCTGTCCTAGCTTGGGGTCAGGGGGACTGGCTGTCCTAGCTTGGGGTCAGGGGGACTGGCTGGTCTAGCTTGGGGTCAGGGGGACTGGCTGGTCTAGCTTGGGGTCAGGGGGACTCGCTGCTCTAGCTTAGGATCAGGGGGACTGGCTGGTCTAGCCTGGGGTCATGGGGACTGGCTGGTCTAGCCTGGGCTCAGTGGGACTGGCTGGTCTAGCCTGGGGTCGGGGGACTGGCTGTCCTAGCCTGGGGTCAGGGGGACTGGCTGTCCTAGCCTGGGGTCAGGGGGGACTGGCTGTCCTAGCCTGGGGTCAGGGGGGACTGGCTGTCCTAGCTTGGAGTCAGGGGGACTGGCTGTCCTGGCCTGGGCTCAGGGGGACTGGCTGTCCTAGCCTGGGGTCAGGGGGACTGGCTGTCCTAGCCCGGGGTCAGGGGGACTGGCTGTCCTAGCCCGGGGTCAGGGGGACTGGCTGTCCTAGCCCGGGGTCAGGGGGACTGGCTGTCCTAGCCCGGGGTCAGGGGGACTGGCTGTCCTAGCCCGGGGTCAGGGGGACTGGCTGTCCTAGCCCGGGGTCAGGGGGACTGGCTGTCCTAGCCCGGGGTCAGGGGGACTGGCTGTCCTAGCCCGGGGTCAGGGGGACTGGCTGTCCTAGCCCGGGGTCAGGGGGACTGGCTGTCCTAGCCCGGGGTCAGGGGGACTGGCTGTCCTAGCCCGGGGTCAGGGGGACTGGCTGTCCTAGCCCGGGGTCAGGGGGACTGGCTGCCCTAGCCCAGGGTCAGGGGGACTGGCTGTCCTAGCCCGGGGTCAGGGGGACTGGCTGTCCTAGCCCGGGGTCAGGGGGACTGGCTGTCCTAGCCCGGGGTCAGGGGGACTGGCTGTCCTAGCCCGGGGTCAGGGGGACTGGCTGTCCTAGCCCGGGGTCAGGGGGACTGGCTGTCCTAGCCCGGGGTCAGGGGGACTGGCTGTCCTAGCCCGGGGTCAGGGGGACTGGCTGTCCTAGCCCGGGGTCAGGGGGACTCGCTGCTCTAGTCCGGGGTCAGGGGGACTCGCTGCTCTAGTCCGGGGTCAGGGGGATTCGCTGCTCTAGCCTGGGGTTGGGGGGGGGACTCGCTGCACTACTTGTCTTGACTCCATATAAAGTCATTTGTATCTACTTGGTATAATTTAAGTACTGCAGTAAAAATTTTAAAGATTATTTACAGCTTTTTAATTCTAAATACAGGTATTGTACAGTATTTTGATTATAAACATTAATTTGGTTCATGTTTATCTGGTGTTTTTATCTTATTTAAACTATACTGTACTGCGTTCCCTCAAAACATATTTTTGTAAAAAAACAAATGTGTGATGGTTATTAATTTCTTTTTTGTAATGACAGAGGCCGTCATTCAACCAGGAAGAGCTTCGAGTACTTCGAGAATGCAACAGGGAATCCTTTTATTACCGCAGCGTACCTATCGCTGCGGGTCTTTCGGCAGCTACGTACTTGGCTATGAGACAAGGTGCTGTATTAAATGTTTTCAGAGATGTGTTTTATTGTGTAAAGGGTTATGAAAAGTATACATATTTTCCGATCTAGCTCAAATTCTGCATGCTTGCTGCCTCGTAAATAATTCGGCAAAACACTGTACTGTATTAGGATTTCATAATATTGAGGGTATGGAAGGACTAGGGTCAGTAGTCACATTCTTGACCAGGGTTTCTCGATCTTGGTATTCTTGAATTAATTGCAGGTTGTATTTTTAGATAAACACACACAATTTCATTGTCAACTGAAGGGAAGATAATTTCTATCTTTGCTCTTGATGCTGGTTAAATGAGAAATTACACAAAAGTGACTCGAGAATGCATTTACATATACTGTAATTATAATTAGCCTATTTATCACACTCTTGCAGAACCCTTAGTTACCTTTGGGGTTCCGTGAAACCCAGGTTAAGAAGTGCAGCTCTATACTATTCTAATAGAATAGTTATTTAACAAGATTAAGGAAGGTGCAAAATAAGTGTACAATAAGAGTCCCAAATGTTCATCCAAAATAGATTCTAGCATAAGTGATTCAATATAGTGTTGCTCATCATTTTGGCAGTAAATGTAAGAAATTTTGGTAGTTATGATTCTGTAGTCACAAATGAAACTTATCCTCAGGCAAGGCTGCAGAATTAGAATAATTCAATAATATACAGAAATTGTATGGTGTTTTATGGCAGCTTTATGATTTGAAAGAGCAAGGAATTAAAGCACTTGGTAGAAACTGGTTTCCTTGTACAGGTATTGAGGTAGGTAGAAAAATGTGTTCAGTTCAATTTTATTAATGCAAGTACATTTTCTCATCATACAGGAATCTTGAAAATGAGTTCGCGATTTGGTTACACTCCAAAGATCATCGGAGCATCATTCATTGGCTATTTTATGGGCAAGCTCTCGTATCAGGGTGCATGTGCCGAGAAGATGATGCAGCTCCCTAACAGCCCAATAGGTGAAGCTTTACGCAAGAGGATGGGGCGCGTGGGTTTTCAGGAGACGTGGGTATATACTTTTTAATCTAGTTATGTTGATTCCTAATTTAATTATGCTAGGCTTATTTCTATATGAAATTTTCCTTATTAATACAACAAAGGCTATAAGAATAGAAATGATTCTCATTTGTTGCTCAATGCAAAGCTGCTGCTTGCTAAACCAATCAAATTGTTAATTAAGTTAGTGGCAAATACATTGAGAACATTTAGGTTATGTACAGTACTATGAAAGACTGTACTATTAATGCTTTTTAAGCCAAAGCCACTTTTTCACACGCCATATTTAGTGCATATTAATCTTTTTCAATGTTTTCAGCCTTGGCATGGAGCCAGGATTCATGTTGGGGTATCCCTCAAGTGAGCTGGGTCCTCCCACATCTGATGAGCCCATCTTTGACGACCATAGACCAGACCTGAGAGACCACAACGAGGGTCTGGATGATTACGAGCGTGGAGTTACTGAATGTAAGACTAGCGGTCGGCGTTCAATCCCCGACCATCCAAGTGGTTGGGTACCATTCCTTTACCCCTGTCCCATCCCAGATCCTTATCCTGACCCCTTCCCAGTGCTATATAGTCGTAATGGCTTGGCGCTTTCCCTTGACAATTCTCTTCCTCTTCATCTAATTATATTTTTAACATTTGCCCTTTAAACATTGTTTAGACCAGTTTTCATGTATTACATTCTAGTGTCCTCTCAGGCTTTGGTTCGTTTGGTCTGAAGTTTCACTTCAAATTTAAGTATTATACTGTTGATATATTGATATTTAAACACCATTTTGACTTCTGCATATTTGTTTTATAGCTTTCCCATTTTTGCTAGTGTATTTATGTCTGATAGACATTGGCTCCGTATTGATGATGTGGACTGTGTGGGGTAGGTTAAAGTAAAGGCACTAAGAGTCTTTGAATTTATTTAATTGTTTTACATCGTTGGGAATGTAATGTAACATATTTATGTACATTTACATATGATGCATTTGACTTTGTTCTCCACAGCACTAACTCCTTACACAGAAGCCTCCTCAAGTGCATCACAACAGTACACAACATACCAAGAGCTTAGACGCCAAAACCGTGAAGAACATATCAATAAAATGGCTGAAAAATATCGTAGGCCTCAAACAGGTATGTTTTTATGGATTGTTATTAAAGCTGTTGATTGAGGGGTAATAGGTTGTCTTAAAATCCAGATAAACAAAATACAATAGTGAATGAAAGGGAAAACTAAAGTAAAAGGGAAGGATACTATTAGTAGTCGAGAGCTTGCCTAATTTGTAGCATGTAAGTTACCCATGCAGTATTATCTCTTAAGGTTTGGCCTCTTGTGTTCGAACACTTGTTTTGTAATTGATTCTTTGAGACAGTAAGTGATACTACTGAAGAAGCTGCAACTGCCTGCTGTTAGCCATTTAATATATTAAATAAGTGTGACTACACAAGACAATGGTAGTGTGGACTCTGTATAGCTGCGAGTCTGTGTATGATATAAACATGAAAATTAATTAATTAGAGCAGTAGACGCTTATAATGCAAGCAGCATATGTGTTGTAAGAAAGTGCGGAGTAAGAGTGTCAAATTGCAAGATTGAGGAAAGTTTTAAGAGGGTTTGGGCAGGTTGAATCATCCAGACTGGTGAAGAAAGTGTCTGATCAACTCTTGAGTGATGTTCTTTAGATTTTATTATTTGATATTGATAATCTCCATTTGTAATAAATTTTTTTGTGCTTGTCTGACACAGCAGATACATTACCAGAGAGTGGACCTCTTCCTCAAGGTGCAGAAGATTACCATCCAATTCAGCCTACACACAAGCTACAACCATCCATACGGACCACTGGGAAAAAGAATCAGTATGGAGATGATGTCGACGAATAATGGGTTTAAAAGATAGGAAGGTGAAGTGTTTAAATGCAACTTCAGTTCGGATTCTGGTGTATGCATTTGGGGTTTAAGACTAGTTTGGGGTTTGACTTCTTGCACAACTGCAGTATATTTGTAATGCTGGGGAAAAAAAAAAAACATGGTTTTTAGATATCTAATACTGGTTGGCTTGGCTGTATTATCTGGATGGCAAGTTATGTAAAAAATATACTGTGATAGAACTCTTGCTGTCTCACGACAGACATAGTTCAGTGATCAAATTTACAATTGGATTCCATCTCGTGTAGTTACCTTGTCCACTCGCAGTTTCCTTGTGGTAAACATAGCTTTCATAATTGTAGTTTCAAACAGATTTATCTATGCCTTTTAGGATTTCTTTATATTAAAGGGAATTTTATTTCTAAATGAGGCAATTCTTGAATATCATGATCATGTAACATTGCTTATATTCTGCTGCCTTATTAAGCCAAGACTTTCAAGGAACATATTGTAAGAGCAGGCAACAAATTGCCTTATCAGAAATGGCAAAGCATGTGCCGAGTGATTGTATCTCCAGAGTGAATTATTAGCTAATCTAGGCAGTAGATAATTCAGACTAGAATCAAAACAAATTGCATAACTTGCTTAAAAATATCTAAGTGGAGGGTTCTAGAAGTCATTGCAGTGCATTATATATAACCTTTAATAAACAGCCAGTTAAGGCTAATTTATCATACTGATAGTTTGTTGCCTTAGGTTGTGAATTAAACACACACTTTCTATTCATTCTTGTCAGAACGACTTTAAACAAATTTGTACAACTGTAAATAAATTATTAAATGTTCTTTTACTCTAAATTACCATCTTTGTGATGAGCGACCTCATTCTCTTGATTTACCCCAACATACAAAATGTTAACTTAACCCGAAACATAGAAACCCAAGCATCCCACCTAACCTACTGATGCAGCCACTCAGTAATATAGAAAACATGTATACTTGTATGTAATTTATGTTGGGAACAATAATATATTAGTTTGGTTGGATGGCCATCTCTTGTTGCCCCACTTCATTATAAAACATGAGGGTTCCTGGCAGTTTATTAGTTTATCAGCTAATGAGATTTTGTGATGTGGAAAACCTGTCTTTGTACAGTTGGGTAGAGTAGTGAAAAGTTGAGTAGATGTGTGTTTTGACAATGAGCAAGTGCATGTGGGGAGATGCAATGGTACACCTACCTTTCCTTGGAGCAGAAAATGTGGATGAAAATAACTAAACATTACAATGAAGCCAGATAACTAAGTCCCTAGATTTTATTTGTACAAAATAATTATTTTCCTTATTAATTTATTATTACAAATACAGGTCACTCGGATCACAATCTTGTTTAACTTCAAACATGCAAAGGCAATAGACCTGTGCAGCCAGTCTCAAATCCAAAAGCAAGAAAATTCAATTTTAATGAACGGATTAATTAGGAATGAACAAACCAAATCCTTACAGAAATATGATGGGAAGACAGCTAGATAACACATCCTTAAACCAGTGCCTTCAGAAAATAGGCAGTACACTAGCAGTATGTGCAAGTTACATACCACTGGAGAAGGGAGAGATGTAAACTGGAACGAGAATGGCATTCACACTGTAGGCAATAAAAGGCAAATTGCAGAGCGTCTTCCTTTATCATCCTCGAGATAGTGCAGTTATGTAGAGAAATAAAAAGAAGCTAAAGTTGCAAGAATCTCATAAAATTCAGGCGAGGCAAAGAGCATAAGTGAAATAGAGGAATCCCAAATACTTTTTTATGCAAAATCTAGAACAAAAACTTCAACTTGAATTGGGCAATTGTGCAAGGGTGATGGAGCCTTCACAGACAAAGGAGTGAAATACCGAGGCTACAGTACAATTGATTTCAGTGAACCCCAGAAGATGATCAGTGGTCCAACTGAATTTATTATGTGTTGCCACTATCGAACCATATCAGATGTCACCATAACCCCACGCGACTGAAGTAGCCATAGACAGTATGCTTGTGCACTCAATGAGCCCAGACTACTAGAATTTTATATTAAGAATTGCAAAAAAAAAAAAAAAAAAAAAAAAAAAAAAAAAAAAAAATCACTGTCCACCCAGGCACCTGACAGCGCTTCGGATCCGTAGCCCTGAGGGTTCTGGTTTTGATCCCCGGTGGAGGCGGAGACAAATGGGCAAAAAATGTTTTTCATCCTGATGCCCCTGTTACTTACCAGTAAATAGGTACCTGGGAGTTAGACAGCTGCTTCCTGGGGGTGTGTAACAAAAAAGCAGCCCTGGTCAAGGACAGGGACGCTAAGCTCCGAAATAACCGAGATAACGCCCTAAACATTTTCGAGATGTAGCCTAGATACTGGTGTCATCTCCGGCATACTTAAAGCTGCAGAGGTTACTCCACTCCACAAAGGAGGTAGTAATGCAGATGTAAAAAGTATAATCCAATAGCTCTAACTTTCACTTTTTTTTTGTTAGAGCTATTAAGTCACAAAAATATATATTCCCTGGAGCACGGGCAGAAGAGCACCTTACATAATAATTTGCACTTTTTAGTTAAGTTTTGATTGAGAAAAATATAAACTTTGTATGGAGTAAAATATTTTTATTATATATATATATATACAATATTGTGTTCTGTACATTCTAAAATAACATTCATATCACTTCAAACACTCATTGTCTTGTGCACATTTCAGCATAAGCACTGTAGATCCCTATTATACTGCTAAGTAATTATCAAAAGAAGGCACCAAGCCAGGAAAACACTGCAGCAACATCAGTATACTGCCGAGCAGCACATCAAGGATAATTTAAATAGTTATCACTTTTGAAGTCGTCAGATTATTTTTAAAAACTTTGGTATGTGCGTAAACTTTAATGGATACTGTAATTAATACTGGGGCACCTGTATCACTAAAGAATTAAAAACTGTTTTAAAAGAAAATTAAAACATGCGAATGGATTCAGAGGATACAGAAATGATTGTGGTGGTAGGTAGGTTACACATGTAAATGTGTAATGTATATGTAAAAATTCAAGACATTATTTAGAAGAGTTGTAAACATTGATGTATACTTTGACTAAAAATCAGTCTGGGCTATAGATTGAATTATGAATAACTTATGAAATTCTGTAAGGAAAATTCTGAGAATACCCGGAGGTTAATTGCAACTTATTATGACAATTACAGAGTATTTAAAACTTTACAAATGTCACTGAAAATTTACTCAAGACATTATATGGTATAGTTCTAAAAAATTCATACTCTGAATGTTAAACACTTTTCACCATTCTCACTAAAAATTAAAAAAAGGGCCTAATTTCATCTAATTTAATTAATTCCTAGTGCATCATAACTGAGACTACAGGGATTTGTCCCTGGCATTAGTATAGAAATTTTTGGAGTAGCTACACTCGAGATATAATGCCTGGTGTTGCCAGATGTTTTTTTTCTATAAAATCTGCCATGACCCAATAACATTGGGGATGTTCGTTGCACAACCATATAAGTCTTCAAACTTCTAAGCTGATACGCAACAGTGTTCGCCACACTACAGCCACTGAAAATTAAAGACATCTAAATTATGTATCTCCCAACGGAATACCTAAATCTTCTGAAAATGGCTACCCTCCATGTATGTATTGAGGGAGCCTCCCAGGTTGAATTACTGACCTTAAAATATATTCTCAGATCGAGTCATGAAATAAGTGTGATAAAGGATGGTATGTTTACCAGTTTTATAATATACAGGTGAAAGAGAACTTCAAAAATCTAACCAAATCTATTACTCTTTACTGGTTAAAGTCTAAACTTTCCCACTGACCCAATGATCCAGGACTCTCTTGCACTCAAATCTCTGAACCTCTTCCATTAATGTCCTTAAATTATTAAACCAATTCAAGACTATATATAAAACAAAAATACCTGGTGTAACTCAAGACAACAGTATTTTAATATTTTGTCGAGCTGGCCTGAGCTACTCATAGCATCTTTATGTTCTATATTGTCCAACATTCAGTAATAAAAAAAAATTAATTGGGCTGTATAGCAATATATCGCCATGCAAAATACTTCAGTCAACGCATCATCTTGTGAAGCTCTCTCACTTCACACACCTTCATTCAGTTCCTGACTATTACTCAGTCCTCACAAAGCAACTGAAATTTGTGATAATACATGACAGAACAAGTGTTTTATCTTACATGCTCGATGGGTAAAGGTATTTATGAAGGATAATAATTGAAAGGGGAAAATTGTTCAATGGTAGAAAGACACAATGAGACATCCTGACACCGCTTTTAAAACATTTCTTCCGATCACATTGCATTATGAAATGTCTCATTATAAGTAGAAAAACCAGCTACATATGAAGTCTTAAACATTCACAGTTTACACGCATCTTCCATTCATATCTTGCTTGAGCACTGGGATTGTTATATTGTACTACTGTACACACTTTACATTCGGGTATGTGGATACAAACCTTCATTCAGAATATTTGCAAAGTAAAACTTAAAGCTAAGATGACTTGAATTTTGTTGATATCACATTATTAACAGGCTAAGAATTAAATGTTACCAAAGTAAAGACTTAATATATTAACAGACTCAGAACTAAATATCACACAACATTATAATACTGTATTACATGCTCTTGTGATCTGACTGGGTTACGCTCATGTCGGCTGGCTCGATCAATGAACTTACTTTCTGACCTTCTGCTCCACAATCCACGTTTAATTTCAGGAACTTTCTTAGACTTCATGGTTTGGCCTACGTTTTCTTTGTCCAACCCTGCTTCACATGACTTCTTGCTTAGGTTTTCAGTACTTCTGGGTCGCTCTCTAAGAACATAAGCAAGACCAGGTTTTGCCATACTTACAGTTTCCTGTGTGCATTGCAGCAGGTTTGAGAGTGGAGCAGACTGCAGGGGAGATTCTCCAGTTTTTTCCTGTCCTTGGTGTTGAACACTACTGACATTGCTAGTTGTTGCTTTGAGGGGGACTCTACAGTTAGTTTCGTTTTGCACCTTATCTTTCGATTCTTTCTTTGACTCTGAAGAGCGTTCTGCTAAACGAAAAATGTTACCTCTCTTCAGTCGACTCTTTGGGTTATCAAGTGTGTTGCTCTTAAATTTAGTGGGCTTTTCCTTGAAGGACACTCGTTTCTCAGGTGGTGGTTGTATGCCTCTCATTTTGAGAAATGGATTACTGATGCGTTGCGGATCTAGCTTTGTTGTGGTGGTCAAACCATCACCAGGGTCAGCACTCACTGTGGTATCCAGGTCAGAAGTGGGCCTGTGGGGGGATGTTGCAGCATTTTGCCGAGGTCTTGACTGTCTCAGGTAAATCTGGGCTCTCACTAAATGCTGACGTGCTTCTTTTTCCATAGCTGCCACTCGGTGCTCTCGATGAGTTACATCACGTTCTCTTTCTTGTAGAGCCACCTCACGCTCCCTTACTGTTAACTCAGATTCCCGAAGTGTTAAAATTCGCTCTCTCCATGATTTTGGTGACATACCCCCACAAGCACATGCCAGTTTGGCCAAGTTTATATCAATACTTCCTCTTTCAGGAACAGGCCCCACATTTCTAGCAGCATTACAGATTTTATCTATGGTGTTTCCTAAAGGTTCTGTGTGATCTCTTTTCTGAGGTAGTTTTATTTTTTTTTCTTGAGGTAGATACGTAGTTATGGAAGCGACTTCATTTTCCTTCTCATTAGGGACTAGTTTATCCTGACAGCCAGAGAATTTGTGCTCCTCCGCATCACTAAAGCTTCTTAAGTCGTCTCTTTTCGAAATTCTGTAAGTTTCTTTCATGGAATATGTGTCAGATTTGGTATGATTAGCTTGAGCTTCATCTCTACAAAATACATCTATTTTGTTAAGTTTCCTGCTATTGTTGGAGGAATCTCTCTCTATGGCTGGGTCTGACTCTTTCAATAACTCATCTGCATTTTCCTTTTTTCCATCTTCCTCCACCTTTTTGCTTGCTCGTGTCTCAAAGCTTCTTTTATCCTTTGAATCATCTGCATCCTCCACAACATCTAGTTTCCTTGGTGGGTTAGCCGCACTCAAGAGAACTGTGTGACTCAGAGAATGATAGAGAGAGTCATCTTCCTGTCGATCCTTATCCGAGGTAGTACGAGCTACAAGAGCGGAGTGATGGAGAACCAGGTGAGCGGTAGGACGCAAGAAGTCCTCATAAGTCAGCAAAAGACCCAAAACCTCTTGTAATGCACTGCTGTATTGCATGGGAATGCGTTCATATCTGTTGAAAAATAATACAATTCCTTGACAAGCCGTTAATATCAATAGGTAGCATGAATCAATATTTGATTATTTCACATCTACCAAGCCAGCAAAATTAAATAAAGTTTTATGCACCATATACAACATACAATATTGCACCATATACAATAAGTATTTTATAATGCAATATTAACTAGGCATTTTGATTGCATGAGGGCAATCACGAAAGGTAAAACTCAGATTGGATAACTAGCCAAGAATGTTTGGCTAGTGAAACTTTACACGGCAAAAGTGTAAAGGTGTTTATTTTGTTGTGGAATTAACGTTATTGATGAAAGTAAATTACAAATGTCATCAAAGTTACAAAAAAATCTTTGTATGCCCTATTCTGCATGATGAAGCCTGTCAACAAAGAAAATATTTATATATAAAGAACTATCAATATATAATATGAAGAAAAGTGGGAGAAATAACAAAAATATTCAATTTCTCTAACTAGACCTAAAATATGCAATGAAAAGGATCAACCAAGATATGATAACATTCGGAATTCTGATGAGTGTAGAGAGTGACAGTTTTCAACACAAGACAAGATGCATTACTGTTCGAAACGTGAACAACAAATTAGTCGTAAGAACTACAAATTTAATATTTTTATGAAGGTGGTAAGCAAGAGGAATGCAGTAGAAGTAGTAGCAAACGTTGCCACCTTCATACAGTCTTAAGACGATTACCAGATGCCAATAGACAGGAGGTGGGGGCCCCAAGAGTCATAGTTTGCTTCCCACAGACACTGACCTTGCTTCTCTGATTTTGGAAGCCAGCTGCTTGTGTGTGGTGGCCTGGAAGGGAGGGTGCAGCGCACACAGCTCATATATCAGACAGCCCAGTGACCACATGTCCGACTTTTCATTGTAATCTTGTCCTTCTATTACTTCCTGTTGAATACATACATTCCATCAATGCATGACAGGTGCTTAAAATCACTTGTGCAATACAATTTATGGAAGTTAAGAAATCATTTATTACCAGCAGCATGCATAATTTCCACATCATGCCATTCTCAACACTGACTGTCATTCCAAGTTCAGACACCAAGTACATCAGTCACCATCCTCGAATAGACTTTTTTTTTCAAAACCATTTCTAGGACATACCTTTTTAAAAGGTAATGTCCAAACTTTGATGACAAAAATAAAAAAAGCTGCAAATATCAATGATAAGCTATAACAGTGTTCACAATTAACTGCTTGATGAATGTCAGAGAAGATGAAATTTGTAACTAAATAGAGCAATGATAGCGACATTCCCAATGTCATTAATGAAACAAATTGTGAAGGCAATTACAGTACCCCTGTATATTTTGGTCAATTATTTATGCAGAACTGAAAAAGTGCCAAAATGCACAACTCACAGGGCTCATATAATAGGGAGTTCCAACAAAAGTAGTAGCAAAGCTGGCCTCTGAGTTCAGAGTTCTGGCCAAGCCAAAGTCCCCCAATTTGACTTCGCCATCTGCATCCAGGAATACATTAGCCGGTTTGATGTCTCTGTGGAGGATGATTCGTCCTCCTCTCAGCTGTCTCGTATGACAAACCTTCAAGGCTTCGCAGATCTGTAACAACCAAGGAAGATGGCAGTAGTACAAGTAGAGGAATACGCTGCACAGAGCCATTCAGCAGACTGGTGTGAGGTGAAGTAACAAAGGAGAAAAACAAATCTAATGCGGAAAAGTGTGTTAAAAGAGGAATATGAACAGTTAAAGAGCAGAGGTGTGGGCCGGTAATGTTTAGGCACGGAGTACATAATTTAGGTATCTGTCAAACAAAGCTCATAGCTTAGTCATTAAGTAGAGGATATATTGGGCAACTTTGAGACAAAATTAACTTATTATATTATATTATAGTGTCAAAAATAACCTTACAACATCAAATTGCTCATGAACATTTAGACAGCAAAAGCTATGATTGATTGCTTAAGTTTTCAAAGTTTGTTGAAAACTTACATTTTTTAAATTTTTTCTTGGTATAAAAGAAGAACCATTTTTGTAAACACACGAGAACATTTGTATAACATAATTCAATTGACTTGACAATGGTCCAGGACGGACCGAAACGTCGTCGTCGTCTCTTCACTTTCTAGTGTGAGGTTTGGTCAACATAACTCAAAACACAGTGGTGCATGCTTTGCATAAATTCACACACACACTTTGTAAATTTACCGAAGACACAGGTTTGCAGGTAGTGTTTGTTTTTCTTTTACAGCTATACAGAACACTTGTGTGCACATTTACCATTCACATTAATACTGTTTACATACAGTAAATAATAAGCAAGGACTATTGCTTATTATTTATTAGTTATATTTATTAGTTAAAATCCACTTTTTTTATTTACACTTCAGGTAGACAATAATTGCTCTGCTGTTAACCGAGTAAACTACTTCGTAAAAAAAATTCTGAAAGATATTATTTTGCTTTGCATAGCTACAGTACAGAAAATATGTAGATCTGTCATGCATGCACATTCGTGTTTTAGTTTATGATAAATAAGGAATGTTGAAATGTTTCTACTCATTTTCAGGAACACTGTATGAACTATAACATATTACAGTATATACAGACGAGGAGTCACAATAACGTGGCTAAAATATGTTGACCAGACCACACACTAGAAAGTGAAGGGACGACGACGTTTCGGTCCGTCCTGGACCATTCTCAAGTCGATTGTGACTTGACAATCGACTGGTGGTTTGGTCAACATTACTGTATATACTTTATCATTCATTTTTGGGCATCTATATTCTAGATATTTAGCATTAACTTTTAAATATTGACAAAATTGAGTTATAACCCCAACAAATAACATTGGAAAGGGAAGTTGTGAGGATGACGAGATATAATAATTATGCATGTGTTTGAGCAGGATCACGGTGTGCAATCTCTGACCACTTGGACGGTCAGGGATTGAACGCCAACCTGCACGAAGCGAGACCGTCGCTCTACCGTCCAGCCCAAGTGGTTGGGCTGGAAGGCAGAAGGCTGCTACTGTTTTATATAAAAGCTAAAATATAATAATGGCCAGTAATTCAAGATCCTTAATTATTACTTAAACTGTATATCTAAACAAAAATATAAATATTTAGCATTGTGAAAGAAGTCAAGAAAACTAACTTGTTTGAGCACCCTCCAGATGAAGCCCTCCTCTAGAAAGGTTGAGGTCTGGCGGCACTTTGATATAAGATGTTTCAGGTCACCACCGGGGCAATATTCCATCAAGATGTAGAGTGTGGTAGAACGCCTATCAACTATGTGATGCAAGAACTTCACTATATTGGGGTGTCTCAATTCTCTCAAAAGATTCACCTCCAGTACTAACCCCTGAAATGAAGAGATGTCAGTTAGAAAATCATTGTATCCTTAACAGAGAACATAAATGCAAGAAACTAAAATGAATAATAATAAAGTTAGGTATTAGGTGGTAGGAAACATGCCCAACCATTCCTCTCCTGCCTGGGATTTGAACCTGGAATTCCTGAGTGTGAGCATACCTGGAGAGAGGGAGAGTTTCGGAGTGGAGTAGTTCTACTCCCCGAGCCCAGCCTGGGGCAAGAATGAACTCAACTGTACTACCGAGCCCAAAATTTGGAATACACTACTATATACACTAATACCCCGGCACTCGGACACTTCATTTGAGAAAAAACGCTCGGTAGTCGAACGTGCACGAGTAACAAACAAGTTAGTTTCCAGTAGCTGTCATTCAGTACACAACCCCACTAAACTTTGCTGTAAACTTTGTGTTTTCTTCAATACTTTTATATTCTTAGCATAAGTAAGTCACCATGGCACCTAAGAAGATTAGTGATGAGCCAAATGAAAAGATAATTAGAACCATGATAGAGATGAAAAATGGAGCTTATAGCAGAATATTAAAAAGTGATATCCGGGTGTCTGTTGTTGCTAACAAGTTTGGTGTGCCTCTAAATCTACGATCTTTACGAGACTAAAAAATAAAAAGTCATCAAAGGAGCCGATAGCGAAGTGTTCAAAGCCAGTCATGGGTGGTTTGAGAAATTTAAGAGATGTGGCATTTATAGTGTGGCGAGAGCATGGGAAAGTTGCCAGCTAACACAGATGCTGCCACAAACTCTATCTACTCTCCTAGGTACAGATAAGTGAAAATAAATTTGCATTTATTTCATCTTTTATTTTCATCATTGTGTTTATATGTGCATTTTTTTTAAATACAGTAAATTTTTAAATACAGTGTGGTAAAGTAAGAGTCGGTGGTATCTGCTAAACTCGTGTTTTCCAGCAGACAACTGGATGAAGTTACTCAAGAGTATATACAGTAGTTCCTATATAAAATATAGACATTCTACTTTTAAATAGGTTACCAATTCAACACAGACTTGCCTGCTTCTCAGATTCACTCATGGCACCATAATTGAGCTCCTTCCATACAAGGACTTGTCCATCTAGATGTCTCACTTTCCGCACTGTTCCATGAGCCCCACTACCAATTGTTGATAGCACCTCAAACTCCTCTAGTTTAGGACCCATAATTTTCAACATTCAGGGATAGATAGCACTGTAAAGAAAATATATATACTGTACATCATTCACCTCAATAAATGATGCTCATCCACATTTTTTTTTAAACAGTCTAAACAACCAAACATTTAAATAATATACCTTATGATTGAAGAACAAAGCCTGATGCATATCGAGTTCCCACAACCAGTAAATGTACAATTCACATTATCAGATATATTTAACATTTAATTTTCCTTTATCATTTAACTTAATATTTAACTAAACTTTCAATTCAAATCTGCTTGATTCAGTTTGCTTTGTTTAGAAATATCTAGCTCAGAGACTGATACTTCTTAAATTAAAATGTGTGTGTTCACTCACAAAATATTTATAAAACTAGGACTGTTTAGTGAGGAAATCCTAACTTTCCAGATAATTTCTGATATGCAATTTTTACAAGAGTTCTATACCCCCCTCCCCCCCCTTCTTAAATATTGGGACCATGTTATTGACTCCCGCAGGTAGGGTCAGTAGTTCCTATCGACTTATTAAATATGCTACTTAAGTGGCCCACCGAACTGCTGCTCACACTATTAAGAGACGCCCTCGAACCTTGTCTAGACCAAAAGCAATTTTTAGGTTTAGGCCTCTCACAATTTGTGTACTGTAATTAAATCTTTGTTAAGTCTGCCTGTAACACAGTGTACAGTATTTTAATCAACATCTTGATAACCTTCTTCCACATTGGATAAACTTGAGATTTTTGGTCCTGGACCATTCTCAAAACAATCGACTTGAGAATGGTCCAGGACGGACCGAAACGTCGTCGTTCCTTCACCTTCTAGTGTGTGATCTGGTCAACATACTTCAGCCACATTATTGTGACTCATCGCCTGCAATTATCAAGCATTTTATTCATTTCCTTCCAGTGTGTGTTTGCAGTGCTCAAGTCTTTTCTGCTACCTTCATTTTAAATACAGGAGTTGAACAAAATCCTTCAGTACTGAAATTTCACATTGCTGGCTATCTTGGCTATCTTGGCTTGACTTAGTCGTTTTTTATTTCTGGCTTGACCACTTTTTTTTTTCTTAATGAATTCTACTTATCAGCTAGGTGGGGGTTCCCCTTTTGTGCCTTCTAAAAGTACCCTTTTTTCTGATGGTGTTTAATTTAGTTTGTCAGCCTTTTGGAATCGTCATTTAGCACCATTTGTCTGCTAGGGCTATTTCCATATTTGTAATTATTTTTATACATGGTATTCATTAACTGAAAGAGAGGCCATCAAAATCTGGTCTGTTATTGAGCGTGTGTTGCTCTTCTGTTTCATCTGCAATTCACAAATCTGGACCTGATATCCAAAGATATCAGGTGGAAATACTGAGATGGTCAAATCTGAATGCAAACATGATCCGTGATCTGAAGCTGCCAATCAATATACATTATACCGTAATTGTATTATACAATATACTGTTGTTGTTGTTCTAGATTCAGCTACTCGGAATAAAAGTTCCAAGTAGTACGGGCTATGGTGAGCCCGTTGTGGACTTACCTGGCATAGGAGCGGGGCTGTGGGAATGTACAGTATACAGTACTGTAAATCTTTCTATAAGACAAATCGGTTACCGAGGTTCCTATCTAAAATATTAGTAATAAGACATCTTGTGTTATACTTCTGCTGTATTTTGCAGTTCAATTATAGTCTCTAACTATAAAATAGTCAGATCCCATTGAATAAGCTTACATAGAAGAATGAAAAAGATAATTCATCGTGATTTTGGACCACGAAACTCTGCATTAAGTTATCACATTGTCAAGGAAATTATATTTTTAACGTGGCAGCAATTCCTGTGATATATATATATAATACACTAATTTATTTATTTATTTTAATTATTTATGCATATACAAGAATGTACATAAGGAATGTGAGGATACAAATATGGTAATTACAGTCTTGTAAAGCCACTAGCACGCGCAGCGTTTCGGGCAGAAGGTTTAAGGTCCATGACTCCTACAATACCCAGATGACAGTACATTAAATATCAATCCACTAAACTATTATTGGTCCTAAATACAGCCATACATAGGGAGTATACATATACATAAGGGGTATGTATAAGGTACATACATGCTCTATCTTGCTGATAGCAAGTCGATATTTATATTGCTAGGAGTATTAATTAACGGTACACAGATACAATCACTAAGTCATCTGGAACACCACAGACACCAAAACACAAAGATGCAGATCCTTACTTCCTCAGAGCATATTTAAAGAGCCAGCCACCACCTTGCCAGTCGTCCCAGGTTGTGGCCTTTTCAAAGTAAGGGGGTTTAAAAATGGCTGCCAGGGCTAGCGGTAGTGATTGGTCGGCGAGTCTGAATATCTCACCTCGGATTGGCTCGTAGTTACCCTGGGCTGTGACGTAATTTCCGTAAACATTTACGCCATACGTAATATTTGTTCACTCTGTACTCAAATTGGTAAACTGTTTTAAAGTTGAATAAATACACGATTTCAATAGTATTATAATAAATTATATAATTCATTTATTTTGCTAATAATATTTCTATCATTAATGATTTTGGTTTGTTATTTTGACTTGCAGGGATCACTGAAAGCTGAACTCAATTCGGTTTATAAGCGACGTTGCAGTGTTTCTGTTGGGTCAACGAACAGTCACCAACGAACAGTACCCCAGCGAACAAACACGCAAACCCCAAGTCCAATTCTAATTCTGACAGCGATTTTGTTTATATATATATTTATCAACAAGCATAGGTATACACAGCACCTAATATGCCATTATTGGAGATAACAAATTAAAGTTAAAAAAAAGGCTTTAAATTAAATATCGAAATTCATTAATTATAATCCGAAATTGGAGACCAACGCTTGGGGCTAATGGTGTTAGCCTCACCCAGTTTTCTAAGAGGACACAAGTGGAGTCTGGGAGTATCATAGGCTAGTTGTAGGTCGGCCTCAGTGCCACACTTTAAGAAATATTGGCATCCAGACCAACTCCCTGGGATTTTTATGAAATCTAAAATCGGGGATATGTTTTGCATAGTTATTTAACATTTTTTCAGTGATTCATAACACTAAATTTTTTGAGAGAGGGGAGAAAGGGATGTAGAAGAGGAGACAGAAGAAAGGGAAGTAGAAGAAGAAGAGTGGGAAGATGTTAGAAGAGAGGAAAGAAAGGTGGAGAGGGTAGGAAAGGGGAAGAGGTGAGTAAGGGGCGGAAAGAAGGTGGAGAGGGTGGGAAGAGGAGAGGGGGAGATGAGAGATATTTTAAAAAAAGATGCTCATGATTAATGAATTTTAATTGATCTCAACCCTTTCCAACATTTTTTAGATTTAAACCCCCCAAAATGCATGTATCAATACACTCTGGCTTCCTGTCCCCCGACCCAATGAATCTGAATCTTAATCGGGCTCAGAGAAGAATGGTAAAGTTAATTCCAGGAACTAGAAATATTTCATATTATATAAATTTGTTTTTATTAATACGCTTAGGGATACACAACAATGTGCTGCTACCTTATTCTAAATGAAAGATTACACAGTGTAGATAAAAAACTAGCTGTAAGTTCATGTAATATCTCACAGGATGGTTAGTCATACATGGAATCAGGAGATGAAAATTCAAATTTGAATTTGAATTTTGAATTTGAATTTTGAGAGAACATGAAATGCGAGGCTGATCTATTAGTCTGCACGAACAAAATTTGGGTACATCACAAGAATATCTTCCATTATTCCTGAGTGTATGAAGTAGTTACAGAGCTCATAGTACCTCATACTATTTAGTCTGAAATTATTGATAACATGACAGTCACAGATATATTGTTGGAGAATATGCCCTAGTTCTTGAATCCTCGTCACCTTGAATCGAGGTTCGAATCTTCGTCACGGCCCTTGTGGATTTGTTCATTTGATGCACCACGCAATTGTGATTTCTGTGTGTAATGCCCTAGTTCTTGTTCACATAGTTTACAACTGGAATGTCCATCAGTGGGAGATTCATTACCTGCAGCCACGTGCCTTATATATCGATATCCCAGCCTAATTCTGGCAATTTACAATGTCACACTATCCAATAAATGTTTTATGCTACCGGTACATATAGTTCTCAGTTCTAAACATATTACAGCTCTTTATACATAAAATAAATCAGTAAGTGTAGGTTAGACATATATATATATGGGCTTGGGTAGATATAAACGGGCTATAGGGCTTAAACTAGCTATTTAAGTTTGTTAATTAAAAAAATATATATATGTATCAATGAGTTTCGTCTCCAACCGAATCATTTTTATTCACCACCTCTGATTATAATTATTTATTGATAACTCTTATAACATTTGCTCAACTTTACCTCTACTATTTGCATAACGTTTTCGATTTTAATATAGTCATCAGCGAAGTTAATAAATACTTAATTACACAAAATACATTACCTGGCAACATAATATTTACGTCGCTTTAAAACCACATTTTCTTCAGGCTTTAGAGCTATACAAGTAACAAACACGAAATATAATAACATTATATAGGTATTCTAATATTGAATATGCCAACAAAATTATGTTTTAATTTTGTTAGCTCGAAATGGTAGATATTATTACAAATAATTGCAAGGTTTTGTTATTGTTATAATGACAAGAGGGAGTGGATGGGCGCGCGCGCTAGTGCAGGCAAGACGCTCCTCGCCTCGACGCTGTCATGGAGCACGTCTACCACGAAAAGGTGCGGTTTTTGGCCCTTTGATCGGCTCTATATGATCATTTAGTGCCCCTGCGATTGAGATATTCCTGGTGTTGGCTTGGTAGTTAGGTGGAGAGTTGTCTGGGAGACGGGGCGGATCTGTGCGGAACTATCTACGCAATTCCCCGAAAGCTCTGGATTGAACATTGTCGTCATGATATGTGTTTCGGGTTAGCTTATCTTGACGTTGGGTCGGGTTTCATACGTGTCTTTGCATTCCCAACGACCAGTTGGTAATTAAATGTTTGACAGCATTAGTTGTTGTGACGATGGGAGAACGAACCTTATATGTGCCCGGCCGAGCCGGTTTCCGGAATGGAAACCCAGCATGAGTCAGTATCCCGAAGAAGAATATACGTAATCAGTAAAATTAAAGGACCTTGCTGCAGGAGACACACTTGCCACCCACACCACGCGGGGTAGCTATACCTGTTGACCAAGAGGGCCAGAGGTGCCCTAGTATGTTTCCTCGGGAACACAGGAACCTCCGGAACCTGCTGACCGCTGGCATGTCAAGGCCAAGTCTGCCCTGGAACCCTGCTTGATGCCCAAAGATCTAGCTGAAACAATGCCAAAAATGGAAATGATGAAGTCCCTATGACCCCCCAGGCTGTGTGTGTGTGTGTGAGTGGTGAGTGGTGAATGTGTATGTGCGTATGAGTGTGTGAGTGGTGAGTGGGTGTGTGTGTGTGCACCAGGTGTCATTACAATCTGGAATGTTAAATAAAACTGCCTGATGTCATGTACATAATCCAGTGGGCAGTACAATTTCCAGAGACCCCCAGGCAGAGAACCCAGATGTTTGCACAGTAACACGGTTGAATCGGAAATCGTAAAGCATTAATGTAGCAGCTATTCTGTCATAATGTATCTTGGAACATGTGTGGCAAGTCTTGTCTTGGGCTTAGTTATTTGTATTGGACATATTGTAGGTGTTGTATATAATCATTTTGTACAACGACACCAAATAGTTTTTGTTTAAAGAGAATTGTATTGTATTTCTGCTTATTGTTGATCTATTAACAACTGACAACATAAGATCATTACAGACAGAAGGATTAGGAAACTGAAAAGTGATACAAGCAGCAGCTCTTGGACTGAACAAGGAAGTTTATATCAATAATCACCACTGCACTGAATGACTGTCCATCCATTTCTTGGCTTAAAACCTCAATTCATTTTCGTAATGATCATTGATGAACATTTGTTTACTAATGGATGGTGCAGAAGCTTTAAACACTGCCATGGTATAAAGTACAGTACAGAATAAAAAATAAGAAGAAAGAGGCAGTCTATCAATATGTCTGGCACACATAAGTATGTGCATTGCCCATCAAGTACAAGATTTTGAATCTAGAAAGGTCTTTACCCAAAAACCCACCATATAAACCAGTTAAATTGTCACATTATCATTCTTCAAGACTGTAAGAGAAATAAAAATCTTTATATTGAACAAAATAATTAATCTTTAAGTCAAGATTCAGTGTTGTAGTTTGTTGAGGGTGTTCAATGTAGGCACACAAACTTAATTTTATTGGAGGGATGCAATCCTGTATGACATGATAGCATAATTGTTTATTACTTTATTTGTATCACTGTCTTCACAGCAAGATGGGTTACTGTGTGGGCAACACTGCCTTAACAGTCTACTCCAAGGTCAGTACTTCACTGCTGTGGACCTGGCAGATATTGCTCAACAGATGGACCAAGCTGAACAGCGTCACATGGCAGAATTGGGAATACATACTGATGAATTCAGAAGGTTTATGGAGGTAAGTGGCAGGAATTTTTGTGGAATTTGTACAAACCCCAGTGGCACAGTGGTAAGACACTGGCCTCATGCTTCACAAGTGGTTTGGCCTAGGTTTGTATCCTAGCTGGGGAGGAGTGACTAGGTGCTAATGCTTAATTTTACGTCTGTTCACCCAGCAGTGATTGGGTACCTTGTTAAACAATTTGGTGGATGTATGCCAGGGGAAACTAGTGGTCGAGGCTCACCCATAAGCTGTGCAGTGGGAAAAGCTTTCAGCCTGATAACAGGAATTAGCAGTCTACTGTTTGTGTGCCCTTCTGTGTATATATATATATGAAAATGATGGAAAATACTTTTGCATACATTTCAATAATTAAATCACTTTATTTTTTATAGTACAGTGAACTCTGTTGATACTTAAAGTTTTAGTGAATGCAGTCCTCCATTATTTTGTTGCACTTTTAATATGATATACAGTATTACCATAACAGATTCATTCAATTGTATGCAGTTTTCTAATACACTGATTTAAGCTTTCCAACTATTTCACTTGTACAGTATTTATAAATTTTTAGAATTCAGATCAAGCCCTCATATCATTATAGATGACTTTTCCCAAGCCTTAAGAATCTCATAACTACCATATTTGGTTTTATGGAAGAAAGTTCAGTAATTTAATAAAGTACAGTACAGTATCTAGCTGAAATCCACATAATCTGCAACTTCACTTTCAGTTGATAAAGATTTGCATATGATTTAAACAGTTTAACATGTGCATAGCTGGAGTTACTTGTATTGATTTCACTTTTGAGCCTCACTCGGCATAACTTTGAAACCACTTTGGCCCCCCCTCCCACGTGTGATATTTTGAGAGGTGTTGGGATAAATATCTGGCACTTGTTTCAACTATTGTTATTTTGGGAGACATAATGTAGATTTGATTTATATTATTGTATTTGTCATAAAAAAGCAATACAATTTACATTGTAGCATTAAAATCTTAGGTGAAAATATGATCCTCAGCAACCATCGGTGAACATGGACGACAGTGGCATGTTCAGTGTCCAGGTGCTAACATCTGCCCTGCGGGTGTGGGACCTAACCTTGGTACCATTTGCTTCAAGCAGTTCTTTGGCAACAGCTGCTCGACTTAACCCAACGTAAGATGTGCCAAGTCTCCTACTCATAAATTTGACTTTGTTAAGTGTCCCACCACACAACTAGAGAAAAAAATAAATATGTCTATTTTGTGTGCATTCTATTAATGTGTTTGTGACTTTTAGGATGATACCACTCTTTTTTTTCATCTCCTTTCTCTCTCATTGGCCTCATGTCTCACTTTATTATAAATGCCTCTTTACTCTCCTTATCTTGATGACACCCCTCTTTTTTTCAGTCTATACTCCATTCTTTTTCCTAATATTTTACTTGGTGCCTCTTCACGTTTAAATACCCTTTTACTCTCCTCATATTTCCTATCTTATCTATAGATATACCTTCTCTCTCGTCTTATCTCACTTGGCACCTCTCGTCCATATGATACTATTTAAAGTTCATCCTTTGGCTGCAAATACTCATCACATACCATATTTCTTTCTTGTTCAGTGAAAGTAGACTCTGGTTTAATATGATAGCGTGAGACTTTAGACCCACTCTAGCTTAGTTTTAGAGTACTGTATCACATTTTATTCCTTGTTTGTTTGTTTGTTTAAATCTTAGCTAGGCTTTCTTCCATTTTTGCACTTTTCATGTACTGTATCGGTTGAGCTGGCCTAGTTTCTTGAAAGAGATCTTGAGTTCTTCACAAAGAGATTTTGTATCTGTCTCTTTTCCAATCATTGTCTCAAGATACTTTTTCCTTGTCCTTATTACAGGTCATTGGGCGAGTCGGTGACATGCACTGCATACATAGGGAAGGGTTGGTAATCTATGGTTGTAGATGACGTCTTTTTTTTTTTTTTTTTTTTGTTATTGCTCACACTCAACCCTTCTTCACTAAGGGTTACTAAGTTTCATAGTAGACACGAGACCACTTGATTGTTTCAAGTGTGGGTTGGACACTGTTTTTTGTTTGTTTTTGTTTGGCAACTCCCACCTACATCCTCCCAAACAAGGCTGTAGGTGGGCGTTACCTTGTGTAGGTCAATAGACCCTTTGCAGTTTCCTTGAATCATATGTTTTTATATTAAGTGTCATTTTCTGCAGTGTCTTCCCAAAAGATCTTAGAAAAGGCTTTTTGATGCTGTAGTAAGGTGTTCTTTATCAGATGTTTTAAGGCTTTTTCACATAATTTGTAGGTTATGTGGGGTCTGTTTTTTAAGTTTCCACATTTCATAACATGCATTTATTCACATTAATTTCCATTTGCCAAGAGGTGCTCCATACACTTGTATTACCCAGGTCTTCGTAAAGGGCATGACAATCATCTAAGTTTCTTATTATCCCTAGTAACTTGGCATCATCAGCAAATATGTTCATATAATTCTGTATTCCTTCTGGTATGTTGTTTATGTAGACAATGAACATTACCGGTGCAAGAACTGAACCCTGTGGTACTCCACTCGTGACATTTCTTCAGTCCGATACATTGCCTCTGATTATGTCCCTCAATTTTCTGTCAGTTAGCAGAAATTTCATCCATACAAGAAGCCTCCCTGTCACTCATCCAATATGTTCCAGTTTCCAGAACAACCTCTTATGAACTAACTCTACTGAAAGTTTTTTTTTTCTTTTGATGGGGGGGGGGGGGGGTACAGATAAATGTCAGTCAACCCAACCATCTCTTTCCTGTCTCTGTGGCTCTATCATAGGAATTAAGTAAATTTATTACACAGGATCTTCCAGATCAAAAACCATACTATCTGTCTCTTATTATATCATTTTTCTCCAGGTATTCTACCTATTTGGTTTTAATTATTTTTTCTGGTATTTTGACTACTACACTTGTCAGTAATATAGGTCTATAATTAAGGGGGGTCTTCCCTGCTGTAGCTTTTGTTTATATAGTGTGACGGTAACGCGTTGGTGTTCGGCTGTTTAAGGCTAGGGGTATGGCCTCGTCACATAGTTATAAAAAAAAAATAGAAAAACTGGAACTTCGTCTGTGGTAAGGTAAGGAGAAGACACACAAAACACAAGTAAAACTTTAACAATGAAATTTTAATTACGTTAAATAAATCAAAACATGAAAATATGGACAAACAAATATGTATAATAAAATCAATGAATCAAAATAATAAGAATACTTAAATGACACAATGAAAAGTTACGTTAAGGCAAAATAACAAGAAGTGCAACACAAAAGTTAAGTGGGAGGTGCTGGAATATTGGCTTAAAGCCACCACCTCTCTCAGTACACGCTAACGTCTAGCTGGGAGGAGTGCTGGCTACGAAAGCACGGAACATTCTGAGGACTGATGTTGGGGCGACCCCAGACATCAGGTAGTATTGGGGGCGAGTGCAGGTGCAGCCAGACCGGCGACCAATCAGCGGAGCCGTAGCGATCAACGGGTAGTTTGGTGGTTGGAGTTCGAACAGGTGGCTGGTTGCATACGTTTCTGCTCACCCTGGCAAGCCTTGCTGGTGTTTGTTGTCGTTGTTGGACATTTCTTCCATAGTCTTTTATATAGTTGTGAAGACGTAATTTTGGAGGGAAGAGCAGGCTCAATCTCTTGAAGGAGATTATCGTCACAACTCTCCCCCGAAGCCTGCGGTTCTGGAAGAAGTACGTCGTTATGTGGTGGAGTAATGGATGGAGTTGCTTCTACTTCATAAACTCTGGAGAGATCATGGGCTAAGATGTTGTCAGACTCTTGGTATAGCGTGTCTCCAGGTTGAATTTCTGCAGTTAGCAAGCCCATAGTAGAAGACGTTGAGATGAGAAGTGGGCGTGCTGCAGGAGGTGTAGGGTGGTGTGGTCCGTATTGATGGTGGACCGAGCACTTTTCAGGTGTGGAGTGAAGTGCTGAAGCTTCAGGATGAGGAAGAGTAGCTCCTTGCCAATTGTTCCGTAGATCCTTGTAGCAGTAGTCGCTGACAGGTGTATTCTTCTCGCCTCGTTGCTGCATCACGACACCACCCACGTCGGTACCATTGGCGTCGACATGGAGGATGAAGGGCTTATCTGACGAGGTGAGAGTGGAATTAGAAGAGGGCATAGGAGCACGATTATTATCCTGAAAGCATTTGGGAAGATCATTAAGGATTTTGGAATTAGAAAGCGCCGACTCCTTGTCAGTGCTTTCGGGAGAAGAAGCCGGGATGGTCTCACTGTGGATGTAGGGTTCTGTGAAGGTAGAACAATTAATCAAGACAGTGGGAGGAGTACCATTATATTGCTTCAGGAGGTTGACGTGGCACAGCTGGGTCTTCCGCCGCCTATCTGGAGTCTCTATGACGTATGTGTTGTTGCTTCTGCACTCTTTGACGCAGTAGGGTCCTGAAAATCTGTTTTGTAAAGGTGAACCTGGGATAGGGAAATAAGCAAGGACGAAGTCTCCCGGCTTGAATTTTCTTACTTTGCTGGTCTGGTCGTAATGAGTCTTCATTCTCACCTGGGCTTTCAATAGATTATCATGGGCAAAGCGGTGGACTCTCTCTAGAATGTGTTGAAGGTTTTGAAGAAACTGGGGCACATTCTGATGCTCACTGAAGGTGGCATCTCTGAGAGAGTCTTTGAAAGCCTTAAGGGGAGTACGGCACTTACGGCCGTAGAGCATCTCATAAGGAGATACTCCTAGGGACTCATTGGGGAGACTTCTGAAAATACACATTATTAGGTCAATCTGCTTATCCCAATCCTTTGAGGTTTCACTACAAAACTTTTTCAAGAGTGCTTTGATGGTCTGATGACTACGTTCAAGAGAACCCTGTGAAGCAGGATGATAGGGGCTGGACAATACCTGTTTGATGTTGAACTCCTCCAGTGTCCTTTTGAAGAGATCACTGGTGAAGTTGGTGCCACAGTCACTTTGAATCTCCCTGGGAAATCCGTATTGAGTGAAGATCTTCAATAGATGTTTGATAACCGTAGCAGCCGTGATGTTCTTCACTGGAACTGCTATGGGAAATCTGGTGGTAGGACACAGGATGGTTAGGATGTAGGCGTTACCTGAACTGGTCCGAGGTAAAGGACCGACACAGTCTATTATGAGTCTGTGGAAAGGTTCCGCAGGCACCTGTATGGGAATCAGTGGTGCTCTGGGAATGGAGACGTTCGGTTTGCCTGCCATCTGACATGTATGACACTGTTTTACGTACTGTTTGACGTTGTTTACCATACCTGGCCAGTAGTAGTCTTGACGAATCCCATGGTAAGTCTTGTTGAAGCCGTAGTGGGAGAATGCTCCGTGGGCCAGGTGTAGAATAGTGGGCCGCAGGCTGGTGGGAATCACAAGTTGTTCGGTGTTGGCCCAATCGTCCTCCTCCTTCAGTTTACTGGGTCTATATCTGCGGTAGAGCAAGTCGTTCTCTAGGAAGAACCCAGGAATACTGTCGGGTTGAGTCTCAGCCTGGAAAAACAATGGTGTTAAAGTAAGATCTTCCCTCTGCAACTTACGGAACTCCAACTTGGTCAGATGCGGGGGTAGTTTCTGAGGGTCTTGAGGGACAGCGGTAGCAGTAGAGTCAGCTGGCTGTGGACGTGCGGCTTGTGCACGGGTGGTCACGAGAACCGGAGGAGAAACTTCATCACTCTCTTGAACCTCTGCTGGAACATACTCAAGAATAGGGTTACTTGGCACAGAGTTACACACCTGGGGTTTGTCCATGACGATCAGGTTGGTCGGTTGCAGGTCTTCTGCCAAGTCGTTGCCTAGGAGAAGTTGCACTCCAGGCATGGGAAAAGGCTTTTCCCTGACGGCGACTTGGACTTCCCCGTTCACGTAGGGACAATCCAGGTGGACTCTGGCGAGAGGGTATGGAGTGGTAGCAGTGAGGTCAGTGATGAAGACTGTTTCCCCGGTGTAGACTATGTTGGGCACAGCCGACTTCAAGATGATCGATTGTAGAGCCGCTGTGTCCCTCAAGATCTTCAATTTGAAACGTCCCTCCGGATTTGAACCGTTGGCAGAGACAGTTCCAGTATACAGGTGGTTACTGAAAAGAGAAAGATCATTAACATCAACACCAACATTCATCACAGGCTTACCGGACTTAGGAGGAGTTGGTTTGGGTCGTTGTTGGTCAGTGGTTCCCTTGTATTGAGACTTACCACACTTGTCTATGGTATGTCCATAGAGTCTACAATATTTGCAGTACAGTTGTGAACCAGCTTGATCGGGGCTCACCTTCTCGTAACTGTACCACGACTTCTTACTGGAGGATGGTTCAGGTGTCAGCCGGTGGATGAGGCTGTAAGTGTCAGCCGACTTAGCACACTTCAGGTAGTCGGTTTCTTCTTTATCTGCTAAGTAGAGGCGGACAGGAGGCGGCACACGTCTCAAGAATTCTTCAACAAGCATCAGGTTGACGAGTTCTGTAAAAGTAGAGACATGTGCTGCTTCCAGCCATTTCATGAAATACCTCCGTTTCGTGTTAGCAAACTCGAGGAAGGTAGTGGTACTTGCCTTCAGGTGGTCACGGAATTTCCTTCTATAACTTTCAGTAGAGAGGAGGTAGGCGTCCAACACTGCTTGTTTCAGAGTGTAGTAGTCATTCTCAGACGCCAAAGTACTGAGTGTGACTGCAGCTCTACCTGTAAGATGGACTCTGAGAAGTGTGGCCCATTGGTCGACAGGCCAACTGAGTTGATTAGCAAGGGTTTCAAAGGTGGTAAAGAACACATCAACTTCTGCTTCTACAAAGGATGGCATTAACTTACTTGCATGTGATATATTAAAACTGACGGGAAGATTGGCAGTAGCTTGCTGGCGTTGAGCGAGGTGTGAAGTTTCCAACGTGTATTCCCGTTGACGACACTCAAGAGCCAGAGTCGCTTGTTGCTTGTCATGTTCACGTTGCATTTCCAACTCGCGTTGTTTGGTTTCAAGCCGTATGCGTTCCCGCTCCTGGAGTAAGGCAATCTCACGTTCTTGTTCTTCCCTTCGTATGGCAGCTGCTCGTTCTTGTTGTTCGAGGGCTTCCCTTTGCTGTTCGCGGGCTTCCTTTTGCTGCTCACGTTCAATCTTAGCCAGCTCTAGTTTAAGTTTCATCGTTGCCAAGTCAGTTTTATCTGCAATATAGTAAGTTTCATGAGTTTCAGAGTCTATCTTACCTTGCTCTAAATAGTAATCCAGCAACAGGTTGTGTAGGTCATTTTTGTTGGCTTGATAGGGAACTTCTAGTTGATACTCATGTGCAAGAGTTTGTAGTTCAGTCCTCTTGGCACGACTTAAAGTCCCTATTTCACCTGCTGGATTTGCACGGAAAGTTTGGAGACGAAACATGGTGAAATTAGCAAATAAAGGTACACGAATGTTCAATAATGAAATGTCAGAAACAGGACAACGTGGCAACTGGTACCTATCCTGTGTGATCTTTAACAATTAACGTTAAGTGAAAGATATTAAATGATTAAATTAAATCAAGGGCGCAGGAAATCTTGTACCCGGTACTCATGTAAGAGAATAAGGGCAAGAAAATCCTACTAACAAATGAAACAAAGTTTCGAAAACAAATGAAACAGTTAAATGCTTCAAAAGTAAAATTGGTAGTCCAAGGATGTAGGCATACCTTGCCAAGTCTCTAAAGGACATAAAGCAAGTTTTTCCTACTGAATTTAATATGATACTTACAGAATTAGCGAACTTTTGTGCTCTGAAAAAATAAGCTAATTCCCTACCGTTGTATGTATCATCATCTCTGACTGACGTGTAGGGGTGCGAGGTGTCAACTGGTGACGAGAACTGCTGCTGAGGTCCCAATTCAGCAACTAAAGTTCGAGCTAGAGGAACTATGGCCCTCTTTGTCCTCCTACAGTCAGATTGCAGAAGATTGGGTACTCTTGACCCGGGGCAGACCACAGTACCAGGGTACCAATATGATGATCTGTCAGAATGAGAAATATTCAAGGGACATAGATGGTAAATACGAGTAATAACATGGAGGGAGAGATGACCAATTAAGAGTATGACTGAGGCCTACAGTCACCACGTAATCCAAAGTTGTCTCACCTTCACTATATGTTACTCTCGTAATGCACAATACACCGCACCTTATAAAAAATGAAATTGAATGAAAAATAGTAAAGCTACGTTAACAGAGTTAAATACGCTTACCATAAATTACCACTTGGCACCAGTACCTGAGTGAGGCTCCTAGGACAGGCCCCCATATAACTTGTGACGGTAACGCGTTGGTGTTCGGCTGTTTAAGGCTAGGGGTATGGCCTCGTCACATAGTTATAAAAAAAAATAGAAAAACTGGAACTTCGTCTGTGGTAAGGTAAGGAGAAGACACACAAAACACAAGTAAAACTTTAACAATGAAATTTTAATTACGTTAAATAAATCAAAACATGAAAATATGGACAAACAAATATGTATAATAAAATCAATGAATCAAAATAATAAGAATACTTAAATGACACAATGAAAAGTTACGTTAAGGCAAAATAACAAGAAGTGCAACACAAAAGTTAAGTGGGAGGTGCTGGAATATTGGCTTAAAGCCACCACCTCTCTCAGTACACGCTAACGTCTAGCTGGGAGGAGTGCTGGCTACGAAAGCACGGAACATTCTGAGGACTGATGTTGGGGCGACCCCAGACATCAGGTAGTATTGGGGGCGAGTGCAGGTGCAGCCAGACCGGCGACCAATCAGCGGAGCCGTAGCGATCAACGGGTAGTTTGGTGGTTGGAGTTCGAACAGGTGGCTGGTTGCATACGTTTCTGCTCACCCTGGCAAGCCTTGCTGGTGTTTGTTGTCGTTGTTGGACATTTCTTCCATAGTCTTTTATATAGTTGTGAAGACGTAATTTTGGAGGGAAGAGCAGGCTCAATCTCTTGAAGGAGATTATCGTCACAGAAGTGGTGCACGTAAGAGGTAGGACACAAATGCATGCAATATTGTGATCTATACAGAAACAGAGCCCGAGAAAATATATCTAAGAAGAATTATAATAAATCTAATACATGTGTTAGATGCTCCTGTGCTTAAGTTTAGTGTTACAGTGTATTAGCTTTGTAATTTTTGGCCTTTTTAAACATGCATTTTTCTGAGTACTGTATTAAAAATTTTAGGTGATAATTGAACTTCATTGTACTACTGTATATAATTTATCTGTAGTGATGGATTAATAATATATAACTGAATTGAATTGATAAGAATGAGACAAGAGATATGTTACAATAGTTACATAGTGAGATATGTACAATAGTTGTAGATCAAAATATTTGAAAGTGAGAACTTGGATAAGGAAAGAGGCAGCGCTCCAGGGCACAAACAGCAAAAATTAAGTTTTGAGGACAGCAGCTGGACAAAATATGGGGGGATTGTATAGTAAAGACAGATGACCAGTGTCTTGTAGAGGAAGAGTGGAACAATATATGAAAGAGGGTGAAAAGGATGATTAGTGTTCAAAAGAGTGAAAAGTTTGTGGTGTGATCAAGCCTGCTAGAGAAATTTGAGATTTGGTTGCCTCTTCCTCCTCTTCCCCCCCCCCCTTTCCCTCTCCTATCACTGTACTTGATACACTGCCATGCTGGTATTCAAGATATGCTAGCCTACAGAGACCCTTCTCATTTGCAATTGCACTATTAGTCAACTAGTGTACTGCCCTTTGTATGTGGATTGTTTGTTGAATGTTGGACACGAGACCGAGTTAAGGGGTGAGAATGATGAGTGGGAAAAAAAGATGTGTGATGTTTGTCAATTTATAAGGTTAAAATGAAATGTGTGTCAGTTAGAGTTTGCATGAAGTTCCTAGATAAACTCGCCTTCCTTGTCATGGAGTTAACATAAGAGTATTGAAGATAAGATAGAGGATATCAGTTCTGGTAAAAAAAAAATATCCAAGTGTTTTCTAACAATCTCTGGGCTGGCCCTCAATAGCTTCCTGGTGCATTGGCTATAAAACTATTTGGCCTCTGGACGAGTACAAGCTTACCAAGCACCAGTATCAGAAGTTCGTATGCTTATTGAGGTGAGAAGTAAATGTGGGATCCGAGATTCTTCTAAAACTGAGTACAACTGCCTATAGATTCTGGGTGATTTTAATTGGTTTCTGGTCAATTGCAGATCCCCCATCCTGCATCCCTCACCTCTATAAGCACTCCAAATTCTGTTACTGGTGTTTGGTAGGCCTGCATCAGTCCAGAGACCTAGACGTTTTTTGGATGTACCTGTGATGCCACAGCTAATGCAATATACCAAGGAGCTACTGAGACTGCCCAGAAAAGGACATTTCAGTACATTCATTTTTTGTTTACTTCATACAGATACAGAAGTCTCTTCTTTGCTTTACAGGTTATTCAATATTTGTGGTGGATGGCAATCTACCTCCATCGGAGGCAGATGAAACTTTGCGCCTTCATCCAGCAGTGCAGACGACTAAGCCTAAACTTCTGTCTGAGGTATGCTGATTGTCCTTCAGAGTGGCTGGAAAACAGCATTTTCCACATAAATAATATACAATGAGCTTAATACCTGTAAGCCCTTTTGTTATAAAAGGATCAGTAAACATAATTAAACATTTTTTAAAAGTCATGCTAATCATTTAAAATATTCAACACCTCACTTCAAATAGATATCAGAGGAGAGGAGACATAGCAAAGAAGACGGAGATCTTAAAGCTGCATTGGCAGCCAGTTTGGCCAGTGTTGGCTCGTCCCATGAAAAGCACGATGGACCTCCTCACTCAGGGGAATACTATGAACTGCTAGCAGCTATGCAGCTCTCTCTCGAAAATGCCTCCCCATCCAAGTCACGTGAGTAGTCTTATGATTTTTCTTTAATGTTCGTCTTTTATGATTTTTTCTTGACACCAAAAAGATACTTATTGTATAGTATTTATTTTTCATTGTGGCTCTTAACTGACCTGGTCACCACTAAATGGCAATACAGGCTTCCCAGAGATCTAGTTCACCATTTGCCATACTTGATATTGATACTGTTTATAATGTAAACCTCTACCGGGATCTCTTGGCTGCTTTTTTAAGTTAAGAGGTGTGTTTTCCCTAAACAATTTGTTTGATAAAAGGATAGTTTTTTCCTCACAAATGTATTTATGCCACCTACTTTGTGTGTTATCTATTATTTTGCTCTAAAATTGCTTCATGATTCCCTTCCCTGGTTGTGGCCTTGCTTTAAGGTATTTCTTAGGACTACTTCTCAAAGCCAGGCCTGTTGGGTGAAGCAGGCTTCGATTCTGGTTCTCAATAAGCCTGTGTTAGTCTCTGAGCACTTAGCCTTACCAGTGTGTAAGCTGCAGGAAATTTCAGGGAGAGGGACTATAAAGGGTTGCAGTACATTCAACATTTGATTTTTCCCAAGCAGAGAGCTCTGCGAAGAGAGACCTACAGCCAAATGTATCGAGGTACTCGGACAGAGCCAGTCCACAGTCCCAAGTTAATGCAGAACACTCCAGTGAGGACGAGAACCTGCAAGCGGCTATTCGTTTGAGTCTTGGTCAATACAGTCCAGAAGTTATAGGTATGTTTGCTTCCTCTTTGTGCACGAGGAACTGATTATGATCTGATTACTAGTGATATTCTTGTGGTAGTTGATGCATGTTTGTTGTTGTTTACTGTAATGTGGTGCAAAATGTGTGTGGATAGGCACATAAACAGTGCAACTGTTGGATATTGGGATAAACCCTACAAGATTTAAATAACTAATTGCTACCATTCCCTCCACATATTTATAGCTAATAATTTATTTGTAAACATATTACATAGGGTCTAATTATAATGTTTACATGAGTACATATTTTTTATAAAGCCACTGATCACGCCCAACTATTTGAGTTATCTTGAGAGTAATTTTTTGTTTAAACATTTTAGGGTAATACAATACTTCATACTAAGAGATGCAAGTTAACATTTACCTACATAAATGTAAACAATTACAAAGTTAAGCTAATTATTTAAAATTTTCTTAAGTGGTACTTAATGTTATGAAGTGTGGACTGTGTTAGATTATACTGTATATCTTTAGTAATAAATATTGGCTTTAATTATACTGTTATATTTTTTATTAAGCCACTAATCACTAAGCATTTTGGGGAAAATCTTAAAATTAACAATATGGTCACAAGATGGTACATGTATTACTAATACTTAACTATGTTCATGAGATAGTTCAATACGGTTTACGTGTTAATGCAGTGGAATGCGAGTTTGTTTATAATTAACAAATGTGTAAGTGCAAATACTGACGAAGCTGTCGCCAGGAAAGACTGGTATCAAGCCGTGTTGGCAGAGTGGGGGACATTTTAGTGACAGTTCTAACATTGTTATATTATGTTAAACAATTTAAAGCTTTGTGTAGTGTGCACTCTTCTGTCTAGCCACTTTTCTGTGGTAAAATTCTACACATTGGCAAAGTTTAATATACTATATACTGTGCTTAGTTTGTGTAAACACAAAAGAGTGAGCCCAGTCAGACTACCAGGAATTGGTGTTATTGAAGGATGTATACTGTTGAAGATATCTATATAAAAAAACACGTTTTGTTTAATTTTGAATTTTGGGTCACTGCAGATGATGACCTGGAGAGAGCCCTGCAGTTGAGCATGTCAGTAGAAGCGGAGCAAGGTAGCCCAGTCGGCCCATCCCCAGGCGAACCCTCGAGCAGCGACCATCGCGCTTGCGTGAATCTGGCTGACCGCATTCCAGAGGCCACAGGTATGGGTGCATACTATTATCCTGTATCATTTAAATTATGAATCGACACTCGATTACTCGACAGTATCAGTACTTATCACTATCGTAACTCAATACTGTACTTTCATAACCGTTTTCTAGCTTCATTGTTCACCATAGTCATTTACACTTACAATACCACCTTCATCTTCACTCACCAATTTCACTCTCACTTGTAATTTTCAATGGCTTTTTTCCCCTTTGATCCAATGCAAGATGTACAAAACTGATCATGAATTTTGATTTCTCTTCCCCTTCTAGCCACCCACACCGCCGAGGAGCCGGATCTTGAAGAAATCCGTCAGAGGCGACTGGCATTCTTGAGCAAGCAGACACCATGACCTCCTTAAAGTTAAGACTTCTCTTAGGACATTTGTAATGTTTTCATGAGCTCTCACATTAGTTGCCTTTATGGAATATAATTCCACACTTTGTTCAACATGAATCAGGTCAATTTCTACCTGTGTGTGTGTGTGTGCGCTCATTTTATAAGAAAGCCACATTAAAGTAGATACCAAATTGAATACGAGTCTACAAGAAGCATTAGAGTGTGTGTGTGTATGTGCACGTGCTTATATGTACCTAGTGCGGGGGAGAAAAAAGTGAGAGAAATGTATGAGAGAAAAGAGGTAGAAACCTTGGAGCTGCAGTGAGGTAACTTGGTGGGAAAATTATATTTCAAAGAACAAATCTCTTCATTGAACTTGAAGATAATTGAATGGCAAAAGTTTTGGCATAGTGTAGTAATTATTTAGATGTTTTAGTCACTAATAACCCCCCATAATAATTTTTAATAATGTCACAATACTTGTTATATAATTGGTTAATGCACAACGTTGGTAATTATTTTCTTAGTTCCTCATAAGGAGTTCCTAATACTAGTAGTTTTAATAGTTTCATCTAATAAATTTTTTTAAGTAACTAATGCCTTTGCTTGTCGGCTTAAAAAACTGAAGACCTATGTGGTATAATAAATAATAATAATTTATTTACAAGAAGGTACGACGTGTTTGTGAGATTCCATAACATTAGTATTTTTACATTCTTGCAAAGCCACTAACAAGCATAGCCTTTTGGGCAGGAAACTCCCTATAGTTATTGAGCCATGAAACCTGTTAGCAGATCTTTGAACTGCTAAAAATCATTTAAGGGAAAGGAGGCGACCATTAGCAACTGGGGAAAAAACAAAAAAATGGCTGCGCCAAAATTTACACACAGTACTTGTCCAGATAATTTGGAAAAATCCCAGTCGCCTCAGATACAGATTTAATATTTTCTGTATCTTTGACATTCCTAAACTTGCAGATTCTTCATATATGCAGTGAGTAGATGTAATTTCACACAATATTCATCTCTGAACCTTTCTTTTAAGAAGGGCTTCTACCTAGATAATGTTTTTAAAATAATTCCATACTATATACAGTACATAAATTGGGTAGACGGGATACCAGTTAACCGTTTATAATAATCTAATAGGAAGAATACATAGGCTGTTATTAACAGCCTATGTATTCTTCCTATACCCTAGTAACTCTCTTGTCTACCAACAATACTATTGCTAATCCTAATATCAACATTATTCCTATAACTATTACTACGACTATAATTAATACTATAACCACTGATACTGTACCACCACCACTTTTTTTTCATTAGTTACAGCAGCCTGTACTTGTTACATTAGCCTAAACTCCATTATATTCCCTGTAATCACAGCACCCTTAACACTTGTTATACTGCTTCATTCGTATCTCAAGATATGTGGACCTGGATATGCTATTCTCGATCAGCTACGATCAAAACATTTATTTAATTTGCCGTCACAAAACTGGTTCTTATTTATTGGCTATTTCCGATAATTAAAGGTGAGAACAGGTATTTTATTACTGCGTGACATGTTCGGTGGGCCTGGCCCACTAGCCATTAGGAAAAGATGTTGAATGTTTGGGCAAGGTCACTTGTACATAATACAACTCCTATGCAAATACAGTATGTTAGGGCCTTCCAGTAAAAGGAAGTATTCCGTGTGTGTGTGTGTGTGTCTGGCTTTTCATCAGCCAATGCAGATGAAAAACTTATACTTTGCTTTTGTACATACAGTAATTGCTTTAAGTACTGTCGTTGTTGAACTTTTGCAAGTGTTTGCTTTAATAGCTAATATAGTAAACTAATGCACAAATTAGTGATCATGAAGATATGATTACAACTTTTTGAAATGAAGTATTATGCTGATGAATTGGGCAGCACCCACTGAAGAGTTGGCATTTGCCAGGACTAAACAAAAGTGCTTTGTGTTTCGTGTAGATTAACTAAAATATATATATATATTTTTGTTTACGTTTAATTTTGTCATCATTTGCAAACTTTTTATTGTACTGAACGTATATTGTTTGCTATTTAAGGCTCTTCATAATAAATTTAACAAAAGGCATTGAGAGAAGTTCTCAATTGTATGTTATACAAGTTAAAGGATCTACAGTAATGTAATCCCTTACCTGTTCCATCTCCAGTATCAAGATGGCAACAATGGTTCCAGTGTTCATTGATATATTTAATTGGCCCTCCCACAATTTTATCTTTTATTGAGTAGACAATATCATCTTTTTATTGTTACTGAGGTCATAAGCGAGTTCTCTTTCGTGTTGAGCCTCAAAGTACAGCTATCGTCAAAATTGTCACTGCCTATGAGAGAACAAAAGGTTGTTTTTTTTATAGAATATTTACTTGTAGAAAGTAAAGAAATGATAATGAAACAAATTATCCACTTTTCTGGTTAGGCGAGCTGTAGCCTGGGCAGCATTTCTTCGGTTTCGATATTTACGGTGAACTTTTGTTCACCTTAAATACTGCATTTGTGTTTTTTGCTTCAGTTATTATTTTCCACAACACTGTGTTGAGTAAATGTTTATATACACAACTGATCAAAAAGTGATATTGTACGTAGGCTTACAATGTAATGTGTAACACTATTTGACAAACATCTTCCTGGCACAGCCTCAAAGGAAGTGTACAACCTCACTCATTTGATGCAGTTCTGTCTTGTATTAACACGTCATTCAGGGCATGGATTCAGATCCTGGTGGTAAAGATGAAATTTGTCATGTGATAATCGTGTACTAGCAGCCTAAAGTTATCTCATTCACATAGTAGTCAACTAGAAAATGATAGCAGGATTTATGCTCTTGGTCAACAAACGTTCATCCATATAGAGCTATTATAACCATATTATTGATGTAAAACTGTGCAGTAATAATGTAAACAGTAACATGACCTTATTGGCCCCTTCATCTATAGTCAACACACAACTATGACTGCACTTTGACTTATTGAGTCTTTTGAAGGTAATATCTTGTAAAAGGCATTTAACATTTCCATGCGTACTGAATGTCCTTGGCTGACAAGTACAATAATTTTAATTTGAACTACAACCAACAGCTCTTCAAGTTACAGTACATTTGAAGGAAATTATTTTAATTAGAAAACCTTTTGATCTTAATAGTTGCTCTTATCTGCACAATGACATGCTCTGCATGGAGAAGAGTAGAACCATACATAATGCCTGGTTTGCAATTATTGTTTATTTAACATGCATGTTGGACTTGAATATTAAAAAGATGCATACCACAATAGTATGGGTAATATTTCATCACTTGGATCATCGGCTATTCAAACACAGGCGTACAGAATACGAGACAGTCATCTATGGCCTGGTCGGCAAGACAATAGTCTCGTGCATTTGAGGCTCGAGTTCGATTCTCCGATGATCTAAGTGAACGAAATTGAACATTTAATTTTACTTGGCAAAGTTTTGATTCAATTTTCTTGTATTTTAAGCCTCTTTAAATGTGTGTTCACAGATGTAAACATGTACTTAAAGGCATCGTTTCAGACTTGTGGAATTAGAAAAAACAAATTGTTATCAGCAGACATCTGCTCAAGTGTCTTTGATATTTCTAACAGTTTTGTAAATACAGTAATGAAGTTTTTATAGGCTACAGTTGCAACTATTTGTGATGTTTATTTTATAATCCTTACTGTTTAAAGCTTCTTAATAGAAGAAAACATACATCTATAATATGCCCATCAGACATACAAGTTGATCCAAACCTTTTCTGAGTACCATGTCAGATTACAAAAAAAAAATAATCGGTGATAATTATTTTTGAGCAAGACGTATCCACTGCATAAAAAAAAACTTACATGAATAATCAGAGGATTGGTGGCAAGTGTAAGGCTCTCGGCGGAGTGCGGACAGGGGGAGTAAAGAGGTGCATACCTTTACAGTAATGCATTTGATATTCCCTGCTCAACAGCAAACATTGGCATACAAAGAGCACAAGCTTCCATGTTAATCAGTGTCATGGGTAGGCTCAACTAAGTGTTTAACTTTAGGGGTGTGTGGGGAAAAACAAAACTTTCAATTCAAATAATTACCTGCTAATGTGCAGATGTGTTTTGGCCTTTATTAGTGGCAATACATACAAGTTACAGTATTTTTTAACCTTTTTTTTTTTTTTCTAATTTTCACGTTTATGTACCGTCACTCATTTTCAAAGACTACCGAAGGTTTTTGGACGTGGTATTATATCAACTAAAGCCTTGCTTTACTGGTTTTGGCTCTTGGATGCCAATGTTGGTCAGTCTGAGTGTTATGAGCAGTGAAAACTACGTATGTAAGCATATGGGATGTACAGAATACATTCTGCATGTGGAATTCAATTTACTTGATGGGAGAAAAGGTGCACTTGGAGGCGATTTTTAAGTGTGGATCTTCTTTACAAGTTGATAATTTTAAACATGTGTTCTTGAGTGTATTTATCTTTTATGCAGTGCGTGCATGTAAACATTTTCAGAAACTTGCTGTGCTTATTGAGAAGTCAAACACCAACTTTCTTAAGTGTTCATTCAGCAGTCTTCAATGCATGAATTAGCAAATGCTAATTAAAAAGTCTTTCAAAACTTTATTGTCAATATGTTTGCTAAGATGTACTCCTGGGCCATTGCCTCAAGAGAAGAGGTGCACAAGGACAGAGGTAGATGGCTAGGATGTACATTAATGCATAATTTATTTGTTAACTTTAATATTATGGTTTAGAATGTGTCAATGGCAAAGAGCTTTAAGTATCTATTTCTGATAATGGCAATCAGTATTGTGCATTTGTCACAGCCAGGCAGGTATGGGAGGTGAACTTACATGGTCTCAACTTGCTAGAGAAGCCTTCTTCTCCATTGTGCCTTAATGTTTAAGTTAAATGTGATGTTGTAAGGCCTCGAGTATCGCTTCATTCTTTGTTTTTATAGTTTTGTGAATAATCTTGTGATTTACTGATAAGGTACAATATTCACTTACAAATAAAATGTATAGCACTGAAACCATTTTAATTATTTTAAGATTTCCAAAGTATCATTGGCTACTGTATTGGTCACAAACGTCTTCTCGAGTTGCCCCAACGTTACAAAAATGATGTGCTAAATTGGCCGCTCCTAGCCAACTTTCGAATAGAAAATATAACAACCTGCCAATTGTGCAAGGTTCTATGATTAGTAGTACATCATATTTTGACGCTGGAGATTTTTACATTAAAATACTATGCGTTATTTGAGGGGACGAGTTGATCTGTCAGGCTGTCAAACTGATACACCACTTCCGAAAGTGCTGGTCAAATTTGTATTGATAATGTTACTGTTCTGGTAATATTTCTTAGCACTATTTGTTCTCTTTACCTATGATAGCTCTTCTCTTTATTACTGGAAATATTGGAATGGTGCAGCACAAGTGTTAGGGCAATAGTTGACCATAATATGTCTTCAGTTTGTTGGGATGCCAGAGTGGAATGCTAGGTACTGTATTTTCTTCCTATCATATGGGAGAACCTCTTGGTACTCTGAATTGTGTGTAGTTACTTGTTACTTGAAAAGATGTCTATCGTAGCTGTGCTAAAGCAGGAAAGGAGATGTATTACTATGGAGAAAAAGCCTAAATAGATTGAGAAAGTGAGCAAAGTTGAGAGAACTACTAAAGTGCCAATGGCTCAAAGTTGAAAATGCTCTAGAAATCAAAGCTTAAAAAAAAAAGGCTTATTATAAATGGTTTTATGCAGCAGCAGCATAATGTGGCAGTTTTGTCAAGTGTTTTTGTTTTGAAAAGTACAATAGGGCTGTCCTGTATACAATTATTATTTAAACTTGGTAAAACTATTCAATTATGGTTTCTTGTTGGGGGGGAAAATGTTAGGCTTATCAAGGTTTCTCTAGGCAAATGACCAAAGTTTCCCCAGGATGCAACCCACAACAGTTGTCCGACTCCCAGGTACCTATTTACTGCTAAGTGAATAAAGGCATTGGTTGAAAGGGCATGTTCGAACATGTCTGTCCTGTTGCATTGTAAAAACACTTTTGATCAAGTTTTTGTGGTAGAATACTCAATAAATCATTAAACTATATGTAGTCTATATCTAATCCTGTCCACAGAGGACAGAAGAAAATCTATGTACAGTATGCTAGTGTTGTAAATGATCATTGATTTAAGGGTTGATGCTTTGTCCAACTTTCAGTAATACATCAAAATTTAATACAGTACAAATGAACCTTTCATGCAAACTGCATGTACCATCAAGAAGAAAATCTGTATATCCAAAGTAGTATGTGGTTTTTGTTTAAATATATATATATATATTCCATTTTTCAACATTCAATTACAAAGAAAAAAATATAAATTTTTTTCATACATCAAGAAAATGTTTCAGTGGTGAGCTATGGGAGAGACCCATATACTAACAGTTAAGCAAACAACTTTAGTCTTCTAGGAATTTATGATCCTTGGTCACATACTTTCCATATACAATACATGTTTGTTGAAAAGGTGGGAGGAAAAAAAAATGACGCATCTAGGCATCATAATAGGGTGTGTCAGGCACTAGACACGTGGGAGTTGGTAGTACTTTACTGCATAATTCTTACTGGATGAATTGTCTAGGATACTGTGTATCTATCTACTGTTGACCACGTGACAGTCTGATCCAATAGGACCCACATCTGTAGATCCGTGCCATAATCTACAGCCTGTAGATTTGAACTATGCACTTTCATTGTTCAGCAAGCTAGTAACACAGTAGTTCAGCTGACAGTACCTGAAGTCATCTGTTGCCTGTAAAGACCAGTATAAATTTAGATTGGTGAATTTATATATTGGACAAGAACCTATACAGTACAGAGAAGAAAAATGAGGTGCAGATAAAATAATGTGGGATCAACACAACCATAATCAAATTTTTTGTTATTTTGAATAACAAATATGATTGCCTATCACTATTCAGTCTAACTTCAAGAGAACTACCCCATTGTTGCTAATGTTTTGGCATCCTGAAGGATGTCCAGGAACTTTCAAATATTGTTACACAAAAGGTGCCATGGTTTTTCTGTGCTTGGTACCACCCAATCTGGCCGATAATGCAAGGATAGGTCAACACACTTTACAGGTTAACCACTTCTCCTAATCTGCCACTTCACTTAATGGAAAAACCTATTGCTTCTTTTTGTCTGAACTGCATTGTCCCAGTTACTGTTGAACACCCCAATTTTTTAGACAATTGTATGTCTTTCTTTCTTCATGTCCCTAGTGGTCATTTGTCCCTCTGTATAACCATTGGTGAATCCAATACCTTTGATATCGCCCGCCTCGTGCACTATTGTTTTCATACTGGCATCTTAAATATGACCCGATATTTACCGCCTTTTGAATATCTAACGACAGACTGCTACGTAGTCTTCCCGGCTTAGTACCATTTAATAATTACTTTTCCTCTCAGTGCACCAACATGCATTATATATGGCTGTACTGTATGTCTATAGCTAATTTGTATTCACTTCGTCTGCCTTTAAAGATGTTAAGTTGGACCTATCAAAGTTTTTCACAAGAAAGTTGTTGAATTATGACTGTATTCATGTGTATTCATGTAGGGGTGGAATAAGTACATCAAATCTTTATAGAAGAAAAAACGTGTAAACTTTATGAGCTTTACTGTCATTAAGTCTTTGCTTCTTGAACTCTCAAATATTTATACATCGTGCACTTCTCAACGTTAACAGCTTTTGCTCTGTGAACAATAAGCTTTGTAAAACCTACTGCTCCAACTATTTAAGATATGGAAAGAGTAGACCTACGAGATACACGGGGAACTAGGAGGCCCGAAGACGAGGTATACTCACGTTGACATCGTTGACGATGGGGCACGAGTTGAGGGTGTCGAGCATGATGGATCGAAGCTCAGGGTTGCTGGAGAGTGTCAGTATGATGCGTAGTTTCAAATATCGCCTGATCTTCACCACGTTTGGCTTGCCTTCGCTGTCAAGCTGTGGACGTGTGGAGATAAGGTTTAGAGGGAGGATGGTGGTAGTCCTTTAGTCTACATTTATAGCAACAATTTAAACTTAAGAAAATAACAAATGTTCAATTCGTTTTGAAAGGGACAGGAAGACTGTGTATATTTATTTTAGGATTGTAGCAATGTTCCCCCCCTCCCCAAGAATAAACTGCTGACCCTTTCCAGGATGCAACCCTACAACAAGATAATTAACTCCCAGGTACCCATTTACTGCTAGGTAAACAGAGGCATTAGGTGAAAAGAAATGTTCCTAAATAACTTGGTCTACCTGGGAATTGAACTGTGGGTCCAGTTGATTGTGACCTGACTGCACTAACCCTGTCCTTCATACCAGACAACAGTAGCAGCATATACCGAAGTGGTAAAACTCCAAGTTTGTTCAAGATTCAATTGAGAATCCTGTTGTGGGACTAATAGCTGGGCACACTTCCTATCACCCAATACCTATGCTCACCTAGCAGTAAATTGGTACCCAGGAGTTAGTTTGTTGTGTGTTACATCCTGGAAAGGGCCAGTAAATGAACAAATCCACAAGGGTAGTGACGAGGATTCAAACCTGCGTCTGGGAGCATCCCAGACACTGCCTGCCTCAATCGACTGAGCTATGACAGGGTTTACCCTATCGTAGCTCAGTCGATTAAGGCAGTGTCTGGGATGCTCCCAGACGCAGGTTCGAATCCTCATCACGGCCCTTGTGGATTTGTTCATTTGATGCATCACGTTAGTGTGATCTCTGTGTATAAAGGGCCAGTAGTTTGTCCTTGGTGGGGGGTCCTCTATACAAGCCTAATATATATATATATATGTACGCAGGTTGCCTGTCCCCGACAAAATTATTTTTAATACATGGGCCGAGAGGGGAATCCGGTGTCACACTTGCCATGTTGCCCCTCCGGAGGCCACACATCCTCATGCTGATGATGTCGGCCGGCTCTAGCTTAATAACATCGTAGATCTGGCCAGCGTTACCCCGGGTCACCGCGTTCATGGCCTCCTTAACCAGTGCACTGTCGATGTTGTGCTCCTGTGCACAGGCGCTCATGATGGTGACGTAGGTCTTGCTGATCTCCATGGCTCTCCTGGCCTCGGCGCACTCTGTTGCTTTCGCCTGACACGTGTCTTGCTTCTTATCCTTGCAGATCGCATCTGTTGAGAGGAAGGGCGTGAGGTGCAACATATTACATGAACGGCAGTGCTGTTACTCCTGCTATTGTAATGTTGAGCTTATCTGCCCTCGGGGCAACCCCCCCCCCCCCCCCCCCATCCCCCCGGATCATCAACACATACTGGAAAACACGACAAATAAATTGACAGACTATTAACACATGAATATCAAGACTTTTCTGACCAACACGCGACCTAGAACACACAGATCAGGAACCTGTACACCTGTGGATTGACGGTTGAGAGGCGGGACAGAGCTCAATCCCCTGCAAGCACAATTAGGTGAGTACACCCTCTTCATCATAATACAAGACCCACCACCACAAAATGTACACTTAAAATTCTTACTCTCCTAAAATCTCAACACAAACCAAGCCAACCTGTCCTGGCACGAGAGACCTCCCTCTCAGCCTGAGTGCACATGTATAACAGCTCCAATGTACATAGTGCACCAGTCATTGCATCTATGGGTCGATGTTAACGACAAAGAAACATCCTTTGTGATTACTTGTCCCTCTAACCTCTGACAGACACGCAACTGGGTCAAGCCTTGGCTCTTTATCCCAAACTTGAGTAGTCTATCCCCACTTCCCCGCGCGGCCAATGGCTAGTCTGTACTATATATTAATCTTAGTCGGACCAGAAGTACATCGGGAGACATCTCCCGTCACGCAGGGTGCAGTCGCACCTCCACAGATCTCCAGTATCATCTATTGATACTGGAAATGGCTCAAAAGGGCCACCACTTATGGGCTATTCATGCCCAAGCCACCTTTTGGGTGGCTTAATCTTTCTCTCTCTCTCTCTCTCTCTCTCTCTCTCTCTCTCTCTCTCTCTCTCTCTCTCTCTCTCTCTCTCACCAGAAGTACCTTACACTACAAGTACTTCCTTCCTCCGAGCACATGAAGTACGTACTCCTAAGGATCACAAGTTACAAGCACACGCAAATAACTGAGCGAGGTCTCCCCTTCTCAGTCGACTGGCATGATAGAGGCACACAGGGGCTTCCGTTGATAATGAACACAATACAGATGAAGCTTTTAAACTCACCCAATACCTGAGGCTTGACCAACTGGCCTGAAGCAGCAGCAGCAGCAGCCGCAGCACCCAGAAGGAAACAGACTGACACGATGATCTTCATGATGATGGTGGCGGCGAGGTAAGGCACACTACGGCGTCCCGCGCTTTATATCCTCTCAACCCACGACCGAACGCTGGAACACGCGCTTCTGCTATTGGCCAAGACCCCCCGGAAGATCCTCCAATCACATTTTTAATCCAATGTTGATCAACTTCTCCAGGGTCAGTCGGGTTCGGGAAACGTGTAGATGTCAGTGATCTTGTAACAAGGTGTGACGCAAGGATGCATTCTCCACGTTTACCTCTCAAGCTTGTCAACAACACCATCTCACCTCGAAGGGCTCGAGCAAACTTTGGTTTTGTATCAAAACACCAGAGGCAATTAGGCGATGCGGATCGAGAGAGAGACTTTCCCCCTCACACAATCTTGCACTCTCTCATTGAAACATCTCTCCCACCCCCTCCCCTCCCGGGTATGAGGTTGAAGGCGGGGGAGGGGAGGCACATGGGGAAGAGGGTGTGAGGCCAGAGGCGAGACAGTCTGGGGAGTATGAGGTAGAGGCGATGCATGGGAGAGGGGAGGATTGAGAGGCCAGAGGCGAGGCAGGGAGGGGAGTTTGAGGCCAGAGGCGAGGCAGGGAGGGGAGTTTGAGGCCAGAGGCGAGGCAGGGAGGGGAGTTTGAGGCCAGAGGCAGGGGGAGGGGGGGGGGGGTGATCATGAGAGGTCAAAGGCGAGGCATAGGGGGAGTGAGGCTAGAGGCGAGGCATAGGGGAAGTGAGGCTAGAGGCGAGGCATAGGGGGGAGTGAGGCTAGAGGCGAGGCATAGGGGGAGTGAGGCTAGAGTTGAGGCATAGCGGGGAGTGAGGCTAGAGGCGAGGCATAGGGGGGAGTGAGGCTAGAGGCGAGGCATAGGGGGGAGTGAGGCTAGAGGCGAGGCATAGGGGGGAGTGGGAGTATGAAGCGAGGCGAGGCAACGAAGGCGATGTATCGGTCGGTTACAACACAGAACCAACAACAGTCGCTGAAAACACTAAACGTTGTCACAATGTAAACATTGCTTTAAGCAGCGTCTCAGTCGCCAACACTTCACTCTCTTGCTGACAAATTTGGCAAAAAAGCAAGGTATGGGTGATATTACGACGCCCCCCCCTTCCAACCCCCCCCCCCTCTCACGAGGGAGGGGTGCCCCCCACCCTTCCATGAAAGAGGAGACCTACCATCACTCTCCCTTGTAGTGGAGGGAAGACACCTCGTTATGTCGGGACAGGAAGCCTGTAGATATAAACATACTTTAGCTTATATCGAGCTCTCTTACCTCCCCCCCCCCCAATGTCGATTAAGTGATCTTGCCAAGATGCAACACCCCCCCCCCCACAAGAGACGCCAAACACCCGGGTACACATTGACTGCTAGGTGAACAAAGGCATTAGGTGAAAGGGAACGTGCCCAATCATTTGTTTTTGGACAGAATCGAACTCAACGATCCCCCGATTGTGATTCGAGTACGAAGCCAATTGTATTACGAGGCCCTCTAAATATATGTTGTCTTAGAACGCCGGGTTAAAGGAAAGTACAGAAGGCCTGTTGGCCAATAAGAGAATGTCTTAGACTGGAGGCTCGGGGTCAGTCTCACCCAACTCTCAAAGATAACACATATCGGGTATGGGAGTTTGGAAGGGTTGGCCCCAGTGCCACAAAGAAATATCGCGATTTATAGCATCCCCCCCACTGCTGTTTTGATGAAGTTTGATATAGAGGTTGTATTTTTCATAGAGGTATTTAACAGTATTTTCAGTGGATCGTAATATTAAATTTTCTGAGAGAAGGGAGAGGGGGGGGGGACGTTGGAGCGGGAAGGAGAGAGAGAGAGGGGGGGGGGGGGTGAGACAGGTAAAGAGAAGGGCAGTATTACAGCTCTTGTCTATAGTTTCACCGGGTTCCCTGTATGACATTTCCTTTATGATAGTTCCCTATGTGATGCTTCTCACGTAATAAATGAGTCTCTAGGAGCAGGCTTGAGATGAGCTGAAGTAGGTTAACAGCTCTTGCTTGCAGTTTCACCAGGTACGTCAATTGACAGTCTTTATGAACCCTAGTCTTGGTTAAAAAAAATTCTGCCCGAAACGCCCGAAATTTTTCTGCGTTTCTGCCCGAAATGCTGCGCGTACTAGTGGCTTTACAAGAATGTAATTACTATGCTATGTATCCTCACAATCCCAATGTACCTTCTTGTATATATATAAATAAATAAAATAAATAAAAAATAAATAAATAAAAAAGGAAAGAAATTATATATATATATATATATATATATATATATATATATATATATATATATATATATATATATATATATATATACACATATATATACATATGTCGTACCTAGTAGCCAAAACGCACTTCTCAGCCAAATATGCAAGGCCAGATTTGCCTATTAAGCCAAATTTTCATGAATTAATTGTTTTTCGACTACCTAACCTACCTAACCTAACCTAACTTTCTCTGCTACCTAACCTAACCTAACCTATAAAGATAGGTTAGGTTAGGTAGGGTTGGTTAGGTTCGGTCGTATATCTACGTTAATTTTAACTCCAATAAAAAAAAATTGACCTCATACATAATGAAATGGGTATCTTTATCATTTCATAAGAAAAAAATTAGAAAAAAAATATTAATTCAGGAAAACTTGGCTTATTAGGCAAATCGGGCCTTGAATAGTAGGCCAAAAAATGAGTTCTGGCTACTAGGTACGACACATATATATACATATATATACATATATATATATACATTATATATATATACATATATATATATATATATATATATATATATATATATATATATATATATATATATATATATATATATATATATATATATATATATATATATATGTCGTACCTAGTAGCCAGAACGCACTTCTCAGCCTACTATGCATGGCCCGATTTGCCTAATAAGCCAAGTTTTACTGAATTAATATATTTTCTCTAATTTTTTTCTTATGAAATGATAAAGGTACCCATTTCATTATGTATGAGGTCAATTTTTTTTTATTGGAGTTAAAATTAACGTAGATATATGACCGAACCTAACCAACCCTACCTAACCTAACCTAACCTATCTTTATAGGTTAGGTTAGGTAAGGTATCCAAAAAAGTTAGGTTAGGTTAGGTTAGGTAGGTTAGGTAGTCGGAAAATAATTAATTCATGAAAACTTGGCTTATTAGACAAATCGGGCCTTGCATAGTAGGCTGAGAAGTGCGTTCTGGCTACTAGGTACGACATATATATATATATATATATATATATATATATATATATATATATATATATATATATATATATATATATATATATATACACATATACATATACATATATATATATATATATATATATATATATATACACATATACATATACATATATATATATATATATATATATATATATATATATATATATATATATATATATATACACATATATATATATATATATATATATATATATATATATATTATAATATTATAATATTATAATATATAATATATATATAGAGAAGGGGGGAGGGAGGATATCTCCACCGACACGATTAAGAAACTCGTATAAGCCTGCGTGTTATCGTTAAGAAAGTGTCAACACCTCTGTGATTCAACACTTGAAAGATTTGATTACAATACTTATTACTATTTACAACATTGAACGGAAACAGAAAATGGCAACAAGTAATTTCTGCTATATATTGCAAACTGACCTGAACAAATAAGGGACCTTGATCCTTGCAATATTTAAATATTAAATCAGTTCAAATATCAGTAACTTGATACAACTGAAAGCTTAAATTTCTGACATCTGAAGAAAAAGCTTATCCATACAATGTCAACATTTCTTTGAAACAATTTAGGATCTGTTATGGAGAGAAAAAAAAAGAAGCCTATCTTCTATATATGACATTAGTAAGTTAATAGGCTGAAGGCAAGATTTAAATTAATAGAAATTGCTTCAGATATTGAACTTTTGCAACAACATCCTAGCCATTGAGATGTTATTGCTTTGTTACAATAAATAAAAAAATCCTTATTGTTAAATTTCTCTGCATAATTATCAAAGTCCAGCAACTGGAGTTTATTAAAACAAAACGGCAATTGCTTTGTTTGGAAATTTACTCTTGAAATTATTTTATTAATCACCGATTTCGCGACAGGACGCCAGTGTGTACCTTAATCTTGTATCGAGAGGTCTCCAAGGTAGAGCTACGTACCGTCCTCCAGGATGCAACCCTGCAGCAACTTCTTAACTCTCGGGTACCTATTTGTTGCTAGGTAAACAGCGGCATTAGGTGAAAGGAAACACGCCCTAGCGTGTGTGTGTACTCGCCTATTTGTGCTTGCGGGGATTGAGCTTTGGCTCTTTGGTCCCGCCTCTCAACTGTCAATCAACTTCTGTACAGATTCCTGAGCCTACTGGGCTCTATCATATCTACATTTGAAACTGTGTATGGAGTCGGCCTCCACCACATCACTGCTTAACGCATTCCATTTATTGACACTGAAAAAATTCTTCTCAGGAGAAAAATTCTGCATGTTCCTATGAGTTGGTTGAGCTCCTCTTTCTTCCCCTTGTCAGAGCCGACAGTGACGCCAATGTACCGATAGTGGTCAACCCATTCAAGCGTTACACCATTAGTTTGTAGTTATTCATTTGCCCCCCCCCACCTCCCGCTTGTAATGGGAGTATGCTTTTGTCTTGTTTGTGGAGAGTGTGAAATCGAGCTCAATACATTTCATTCCAAGGAGTTCAATGGTCTGTTTAATTTTTCCCAAGGTGGGAGCTTGTATTAGGACATCATCTGCATACCCCACTTGTTGTGTTCCTTCCGGAAATTCAATATTTGCAATGGCGTTCATAAGTATGTTAAATAGTGTGGGGTTTAAGACACCCCTCCTTGGGGGGTCCCGAGTTCCATATTCCTTGTTCTGGAGACTGCTCCATTGAAGCAAACCTTGGCTATCCACCCTGTGAGGTAGTCTTCAACCCATTTCACGAGTCTCCCCTTGACACCCATGCACGCAAACTCGCCCAGGATCACAATCCCCTGTGCTTTGTCGAAGGCTCCTTTGATGTCAACAAATACAGATTACTTAACTGTGTCATTAGCCAAATAATTAACTATACAGTTTGCTGTGCTCCGTCCTTTAACAAATCCCGACCCCCTCTTAGCCTGCCTATTGTGTGCAACAGTTGGTTTAGGATGATTATTTCAAGCATCTTGCATGTGCATGACACGAGACTGATAGGTCTGTAATTGCCAGGGGTCATAGGGCTTCTTTATGGGGGGACAATTATTGCGTGTTGCCTTGTATCTGTTACTTTTAACCTCTTGGGTCTGGATTAATATAATCCAACTTGTTCAATATAATAAAAAGCTTCGATGAGATCACACAGCCTTGTCCTGTCTGGTTTGCGGTGGTCTTAGTCCTCTTCGTTCATTCGTTTTAACCTATTATCTCCCTATCTCCTCCCTCTGTTCTTATTCCCCTCCCACTCGCCCTTCTCACTTCTCTCTCCTGACAGCCATCACGCTATTCTGTCGTTTAATTGTGGTAAGGGGGCCCCCGAC